ACAAAGTGTGAGCATCTTCTGTATACATAGACTTATATTGCATATAACAAGAATGAGTCGCATGTGGAAGGTTTTCTCTGATGTGTGAGTGAGGTTGGCAAGTGGAAAACCCGGAGTGGAGTGATTACAGAGCACTTTAAGTGAAGAGAGGAAAAATCTGACAGCCCACTCACATAATTAATCTTGATACATACATACACAAAACAGAGACAGTTCACAGTCCACATTTTTGTGTTTTCCTTGTTCTGATACACTTGATTGAACTCAGAAAAAGTCCTTGTTGTGTTGAGGAGACAAGTCTTTCACTTGTGTTCCACGTTATTCTCTCAGTGTTTGCTCTGTTGTGTTTATGGATGTTCTCTCTGTGCTTGTGTAGAGGAATTCCTGTCTGAGATGGAAGTGGAGGTGAGAACTGAGGAGATGGGGCCCGTCGAGGACTCCATTACTGAGCTTGAGCAAAAAGATCTGCAGAAAAGAAAACGAGGTAACATACACGTATGCTGAGTTGCTGGAGGTTTACGTGCTGTGCATGTCTCAGTTGTTGGCGCACATTTTAGGTGTACAGTTAGGGACTTCAGCTCATGTTTCTCCATGCACTATTTATGTTAGTCATCTTCTGACCCTTTATCAGTGGTTAGTCTGACCACCGGCTCTCACTGTTGGCTTTATATTTTGGTTGGATGACAGTTCTTAACCCAGCAGTGACATTGAAGTGTTAAAAGGCTCAGCAGTGCTGTTGTGCAGCGTATGCATATACTGGCACTGCTAATGTTTCTTCAAAATTTTGTGTTCATGAGGTTTTTATTTATTTATTTATTTATTTTTAAACAGCAGGGAGGAAACCCAAAACGCCACGAGCTCACTGTGATGGCTCCTTGGATCTCATTTATAAAAGGAAATCGAAAGAGAGCAGGGGTATGTGTGCATCTATTTATATATGTGAGAGATGCCGTCTATACACTGATTATTCATGTATGTATGGTGCATATATTGCAGGCACCACCACATATCTGTGGGAGTTTCTGCTGGACCTTCTGCAGGATAAAGAAACTTGTCCCAAGTATATCAAATGGACTGAAAAAGAAAAGGGCATCTTCAAGCTGGTGGACTCAAAGGCAGTGTCCAAACTGTGGGGTAAACATAAGAACAAACCAGATATGAACTATGAGACGATGGGAAGGGCACTCAGGCAAGTGCACTTTATGCGGTTACGGTCTACGTTCAGCTGATAGATAGATAAATGATGAAGCTGTCATTTCTCAGTGTAGATTGTAGCTCTTTTTTGTGATTGCAGCTTTTTTCAGGCAGTTTCTAATTGAATTTGTATTTGTCTGTTCAGGTATTATTACCAGAGAGGTATTCTGTCCAAGGTGGAAGGCCAGAGACTGGTGTACCAGTTCAAAGAGATGCCCAAAGACATTGTTTTCATTGACGACGATATTGATGACAGCGTCGATAAGGGAAAGAGACAAAGCCCCACAGCAGCCGACTGCACTACTCCTAAAAAGAGGAAGGGAAGAGTGTCTCCTGTGTTACCTTCAACACCACTCATCAGCATCTCCTCAGGACCTGAAGGCCTTGTATCTGTGCAGCAGTCACCTGTTACCACACCAACCGTCCCCAGGTGAGACCTGCAGAGATGATTTGTGTCAGAATTGAGGGACACAACTGACGTAAAGCGTTTTCATGTCTCATTAAATGCCTCATTAAAACTGTTTGTCTCTTTCCCTCTTACGCTTCTCTCTCTAAATCTTTTTCTTGTTTTTTTTCCTCTCTGTCCCGATCTCTTTCTCTACACTGTTTTTTTCCTCTCTCTCTCTTCACTTTCAATGTTTCATTCTTGCATATTTTTCTCTAAACCTTTTTCCCCTTTATTTTTCTCTCTCCTTTTTTTTCTTTCTCTCTCTTTTCTTGTTCTCTTTCCTCACTCCTTTGTGTATATTTCTGTAAATTTCTTTACCTTTCCCTTTTTTCTTCCTTTCTGGCTCTCTCCCCTTCCTTCCATCCTTCTGTCCGTCCTTCCTTCCTTCCATTAATTCATTCTTTCTTTCTCTTTCTCTCTCTCTGTTTCTCTTTCTTGCTCTCGAACTCTCTTGCTCTTACGCTTTTGCTTTCTTTCCTCTTAGAACGGTGAGGCTGGCCATGCAGGTCCCGGTCCTCATGACGACGCCCCAGGGTCAAAAGGTCTCCACGGTAACAATCAATTCACCCACCGGTGCCTCTCCCATCCTGACAACTGCCAGCCCGGTCGCCGGGGGCAACAGTGCAGGAAAAGTCATGCTACAGGCAGTGCCGACGCTGGTCCCTGCACAGGGCCAGAACGGAGAGCGGATCACGCTGCAGCTCATCACGATCCCCGCGGCTCCGGCTAAGGCAGGCGGCCCCATCACCCTCCGCACGCTCGCACCAGTCACAGGACCCGCCGCTAGCGCCCAAGTCCTGCAGCTGGCCGTCCCAGCCACTGTAAGCGCCACTGTGACTGCCCCCGCCCCACCTGTCACTGTAGAGACAGTTCACGTGCCAGATACAAAGCCAGCCTTGTCTGTACAGGATGTGAAGATCATAAAGCTTGAACCTGTGGAGGCTGTGATTCAGAGGCTGGAGACACCAGCAGAAAACTCGCACACAGATCACGCCAGCACGCAGAGCTGAGACAGTGTGCATAGAACCAAACAAGCAGCATTTAGAGGAGAACTGAGTTTGCTCTCATGTATTTCGAACCACAGCAAGTGCAGAAGGCCTTTTAAAATAGGCAGTGTGGGCATCAGGTTGGACTGAAGTAATTCAGCGATGAAACCAGCACTACATTCAGCCTAATCCTCCCCTTTCACGTTAACACTATGTTTGACTTCAAATAGTCAATCCCCAGCCTGAATATGTATTATGAAATGGAGCAGGGGAGATGCTGTATTTTTCTTTCTTGTAAATTTTTTTCCCCCCCACTGTACCTGACCTTTTGACCGGATTCTAAAGGAGACAGACCGCCTGAGCTGTGAAGTTATGGTGGGATGTTGTTCCCGGTGCTAAAGGCAGAACTGAGTTTCATAAACCAGAAAAAAGAAATGCTTCAGTTTTCACCAGCTCACCAACAGGAGTGGAAGGGATTCTGTACATAAAAGTGACCGAATACTCGTAGCGAACAAAATGTTTAAAAAAACTAAAAAAAAAAAAGCAGCCTTGAGTCACAAATATTGTTTTCCTTTACATCAGAATTGTATGAAGCTGATTGTACTCTGCTTTTTTTGTGTAAATATGGAAAAAAAAACTTTTTGATATTTTTTACCAGGCAGTGTTTTTTACAGTTTGAAAAGCAACTGCGTCTTCACGAGGCTCTTAAAGCATCTTGGAACATCATCATTTCACTGTCTGAGTTTTGATGTTTTTCCTTTTCAGTGCATTTTTACCCTCTCAGCACCTGTTTTCCTGCAGCGTTTGTCCACCGCTATTTCCTTTTCTTATTATTTTACACTTGTGTACAAAAAGGGAGAGAAAGTTGTGTGTCTATTTGGACTGAACTATATTGCATATTCAATATTTGAAGCATTTATTTTGTTGTACTCCTATCCAAACTTGTATCCAAGTAGATTTAAATATAGAGGACATAATTATGCAAATGGTTTTTTGAGACTTTTTTTCCCGTTTTTTACTAAATACAAAACTGTTCATGTGAAAAAACTATCCAAGGTAAGAGGCCACATGGGACACAGGCTTTGCATTTTCAGTGGCCAGAATATAAAACATTATGGCTATGGGCTTCATGCAATACACGTGTCTCTTCATGATTTCTTGGTTTATTTAAAATTTCTAACCCAAGCAGTCATTTTAATCTTAGGAAACCCCACTTATTTAATCCCTAAATAACAACTGTGAATGTGTCTTCATTCACTTTTTAATTGCATGTCCACAAGTTTGTAGACACCTGCTCATTCCACATTTTTGTCTGTAAATGAAGGGTATCATTAGGGTGTTTGTTCCCCTTTGCTGCAGTAACAGCCTCTACTCATCCCAAAGGTATTAGATGGAGCTCCATCTCTCTAGGGGTCCCAGCATTGGGCTCTACAGTTAAATTACCTTATAGTTGGTAATTTAACTAATGAACTAACTAATAATTACTAGAATGAGTGTCTGGATACTTTTTGGGATCCAGTGTTTGTAGTCTTAGCATTCAATTCAAACTGCTGCATCTGCAGACATAGGTCCAATAGTATTGGCTATTGTTTTGGCCCCTCCAGAGTGGGTCTGTTTTTGGTTGTCGTTCTCCTTGTTTGTCGGTTGAGTTTGGAATGAATTCAATGGATTGAATTTAAGGATTGACTCGTTCACATACTGGATACTCATACTCACGTAAATCCCTAGGGGCACCAGTCACCAGACCACAGTACACATGAATGTTCTTGCTAGAGGTCAAGTGTCTCACATTTCCATCATTTTGCCCTTTGGCGTGGAGCGATCCTCTTGTTTTCCCCGTCTCAAATTTGGGATTTATTTTCTATCTTGACTGCTTTCAACTTCTGGACATCTATGCTAGAGGGCAGACCACATCTCCTCTCCTTTGATGGTGATGGTTCTCTGTGGTGCCCTGTTAAAATTAGCTTCAGTTTAGTTTTGGAATGAGTGCTGCAGTCAGTACCATGTCTGTATGCCACTTAGGCTTTCCGGTATTGTATACTGGTTCCTTTTTGTACTCTTGCATGTACATGTGAAGTCTTATCGGTGTGCGAGGCATCTTTCCAAGACACATCCTGTTCTTGGTTCCCATGACACGTTCTTCTGTTCTTTGTGAGCTCAGAGCCATTCAGTCCAGAATAGATTAGATTAAAGGATCAGCATCTTCTTTTCCTGATCAGCATAAAGACGGCCTTTCTCTGAGAGTGAGATGAGCGGAGAACAGAAACAAATAGGGCACGTGTAGAGATACAGCAGGTTTGGTCAGAGTGAAAGTGTTGGATGTTGAAATGAAGCATTATTTACTCTGTGTTCAGTAGAAAGAGACACTTGCATTGACTGCAGATTTTTTCTTTATGGCTTACAGTGGTTGTTGACCCAAAGTTTCAGTCAGAAGACTTTAGATGTAAACTAGATTAGAGGACTAATTAAACAGGTTACAATGATAAATACCATTAGTATCACTAAAATTAAAAAGTACTGGTAATTCCTGAGTAATGAAAGCCAAGAACGATATGGCACGACATAAAGTCTCATTTTACTTAAAGTGGCACTTTGGCCAACATGAAAAATGCAACAATCGCTACATCTGTTATAAACATGCCTACTTAAAGCCTTTAAAGTGGTGCCACAATGATCCTGAGAGTGAGATTTTCTGGTTTAAAGACTAGAAAAAAGCCCTTCTGATGCACCTTGAAGATGGTAGAAACTTAAGATATAAGCACTTTGGGGTAGACATTTGAGGACTGTTTAAATTGTTTATTCTTCTCCCCACTAGCTGGCTAAAGCAGCCAGAAGCCAGATGGCTAACGTAACTGATAGGAAGCCCAGTGTCATGCCTGTATTTATTAGCTTCTACATCAGCATTCCTTTATCACTGTGGGGAGGAATCCCAGTGGTTGTATGTTGTATTTGCAGAATGCATGCTGGGTATTGTAGTGAGAGAACATTTGATGGACAAAAATGCAAAAAAGAAGCAAGAAGGCGAATTCTCTCAAGCTGATGAGGCAGCGCTGTACTACAAAATATCACAACGCAACAAATAACATTAAATGCTAGATTTGGCCCCCTAAGTCATTTTCATATTTCATTAAAAACAGAAAACATGCTCGTAAAATAATTAGACATGTTTATATTACCACTCAATGGCATATAAATTGGCAATTACAGTGCTATTGAAAGAGAAATGGTATTATAGTTGTACAGTTGTACAGAGTGGAACATCTACAACAGTTCCTTCTTTGAGAATGTCCTGAGTTCATGATACATTCAGATCATTATAATGGAATAATAAATTATGGAATATTGCACAACCTCTAGTCAAAAACAGAAGTGGATGATGAGTGTATATCAGAAAAAGAGTCTTGTGTAACTCAGTCAGAGGTACTTTTAAGACCGTAGTCCTGGTTCATCATGTAAGGACCAGGTTTATGTGCGTGGTTCATGAGTTCTTTATGTTCTATAACACAACCAAAAAACATTCCCTGCCACATTCATGCGAGTCATGCGATCCAAACACTATTCAAGCTGGATTCGTTTTACCGGAGTATGTAAAGGGATCTGACTGGTCGGTTTGACTGTGTTACGGGATAAAGTGTCAGCAGTTTTGTCAGCATTACAGCACAAGCGCCACAATCAATAACAATAACAACACAGCATGGCTGTGTATATTAGTAGGTTTTGTTATCCAAGGTGGATGTGAATAGGACCAATATTACTGAGACAGCTCCAGGTTCAGGCAATTACAGAAGGCCATTCAGGGGAAATTCCACTGATTGTTCAAAATTTCTGCTTAATTATCTCTCAACTATTTAAACAAGTCATTCAATCAATAAGTGGTTTGATGTGAATTGATTAATTGTAGAGAAACTTACCAAATCAGAATTACTTCACAGTGGTGGTGATAGGAACCACGTGATGTATACCATGCAAATATAGCCATTAAATTTACTACCAAAACCACCATTGAACCTACACGTGTCTTCTGAGTGTTTATGTTTGATGTCGATAATAGTAAAATAATTGTTCAGTGTTAAATCCAAAACCATAAAAGTTTTCTTTGGGTACTATTTTGCCTAATAACACACTGCATGCACCTCTCTACTTTGCATATATCATAAAAAAGGCAATTCAGACTAAAACTTTACCTCAAAACTGTCATAAAACAATGTCTCAGGCTTCAAGCAACATATTTATAGCAACTCATAGTAATATCTTCCTGTGAGGGAAGTTTTAGAGGCATTAAAAACATCAGATGTCTGGTTCCCATCACCACCTGTGAACAATTATTAGTCTGCAAGTTTCTTCTACAATGAAGCATTTCGCATCAAACCACTTTGAATGACTGTCTACAGTGTAATTGTTTAATTATGCAGAAATTTTGAAAAATTGGTGGAATTCCCCTTTAAATTACCTCCCCATATAAAATGAATCCAGCTCGATTAGGGCTTTACACACACACACACACACACACACATGCACACACACATGCACACACATTTGGGAATGTCCTGAGCTGCTGTGGAACCCCATCAGAAGGAGCTGTATTGATTGACAGTTACATGAGCCTGTGAGGCTCCTGGATGAAGCTGAGGTCACAGACCAGTGAGAGGTGGTCAGAGGGGTAGTGGTATGAAGGCAGGCGGTCAGGGCCGATCTGCTCCTCACTGGGCATGCTCAGCACGGCATCTACACTGAAGCCCCCGCGTGAGTACCAGATGTAGTCGAGCGTGGCGCAGCTCTCTCCGCTCGGGCGAATCTTCCAGCTGGTGTAGGGTGGCTCCGTGTTGCCGTCCGTACTCAGCCTCCGGTAGGCGCTGTCGAGCCCCAGCGGAGAGGCCAAGAAGCGACGGTACACTTCCTCACAGGGTTCCGCGTTAAAATCCCCGCAAACCACCATCGGGACGCCCTCAGGCTGCACCCCCTGCTGGCTGCTGATGGTCCTCAGCTGCTGCAGGAGGTGCGAGCCCTGGGCGCTGCGAAAGGCCTCCCAGCCGCTCCGTGCTTTCAGGTGGGTCACGGCCACACAGAATGTCCGGCCCATGACCCGGTCCAGCAGGGTGGCCACGATGGCCACCTGGTTGGTCTTGAGCATCATGGCCGACAGACGCAGATGGTCGGTGCAGAGCAGCTGGAAGCGCTGGCGACTGAAGAACAGAGCGCAGCCGTCCGGGCCGTTGTTGTCGCGTACGTCCAGGCAGGGCGAGCAAGGCTTGGGGCAGAAAGTGCTCTGGTAGCCCAGACGGGACAGCACTGGCTGGAAGGTGTCGTAGTAGTGGTCCACCTCCTGCAAGCACAGGATGTCTGGCCTGTATGTCAAGATTTCCTCCAGGATCAGGTACTTCCTCTCAGCCCAGTTCAACGCGTCCATCGGGCAGCGCACGAAACCGTCCTTGCCCTCACCGAGAGCTGCAGGGTAAAGAACGATAAACAGCTATGAAGCAGTGTAACAAAGACACGGCTACAGTTGTATGCAGATGTTTAAACACCCATGGTCAAATGACGTGTATATTTTTTTAACTGAAAATAAGTTTACACATCCTCTGCTTAACTATCTTAAATAAGGCATATTTCTGCACATTTCACTGCACGATTTCTACTTATTTGATGAGATTGGAAAAAAAATAAACAAACATAAAAATAAAATATAAAATGGCACAAAAACATTTGCATTCACCTGTATTTTTGTTTAGATATTACAACTCACAAACCTTCCTGGGCCTAGATTCATGATGTGTATTAATAAATCAAATGTTCTCAAATACTCTAATTACTTCCTATCCATTACCATATCCATTTTTCCTGAATTTTATGTTCTCCGAGGTCCACTTATAAAATCTGCGTGTTTTATGTACAATAAACAGTCGGAATTCCTTTTATATGACCATTTTCCGACCTCTCTTTATCCCTTATAATTAAACAGGCTGTTTTTGGTACTGTGCCTTTAAGACCTCTATATATAAATGAGCTCTGTTCTGATTGGCTGCCTCGTATTGTGGCTTATTTGATCAGAGATGAAACACTTCTTAGTATATGATGTACGCAGAGCTAAACTGAAGTACACTGAATAGGGGTGTGTGGGTATATATATATATATATATCAGGTAGTTCTTGTGATATCACAAAAAAACAAATTCAAAATGGGTTATTTTGACAGCTTAGTTTTATGTTTAGACTATGGAATGTATGGACTGAGGAGTATATATTTTGAAACTTCAACATACTGCGTAGAGCTCTTCGATTAAAAACGAGGGAAATTTGATTTGATTGATATTTGCCCTTTAATAGGAAAATAAGACCTGTTTATAACTTAAAAAAATTCTTTCTTACTGTCTCCCTTAAGGATGTTTCTAGGATAGAGTCACATCTTAGACTGAAAGGGTTGACGACAGCAGGAAGCTAGTTAGCTAACTAAGTTCTCCGGCTTGTTACTTAATGCTGACGTGCTATATGCATTGCTACACATACTATTACTCTGCCATCACATGTAGCTCTTGTTACTAAAGTTTTTTTTATTACATTGTTCATTTCTATGTTTTCTTCAGGCACTGAGCGAATTAAATGAAGCCTTAATGGTTAAAGACTATTCGATATTCTGTAATAATCAGGGTGACATTCTTTTATACTTACAGCCTGCTTAAAAATAACGACTGGTGAACTATTTCACTCTTTGTAGGATTACATTTAAGAACATTTATGAACTTTTTGAGGTTTGTCCTTCTTCAGGAAGTTTTGTGAATCAGTCTCTGGTGTCCAGATCAGTGTTTCCTGTGCTGCTCCTTTTTGTGTTTCCCCTGATCTAATTTTAAACTTGAAGATCCTGTAAATTATCTGGTGAGTTGAGTCAGGTGCCTGGGGAACAGGAAGCTACAAAAATGTGTGTGGGAGCACGTCAGAAATAGGACTAGAAAACGCTGCTCTACGATTACAGAATCACAGCAACGCTAACAAACTTAAACCTTTAACACACCACTGATTACAACGGTCAGGATCAGTTAAAGAGTCTAGATTATGGAGAAATAATCCATTAACACACATTACATATGGACTCTTTAAACAGATAATTCTTCAAGGGTTCTTTCGTAAAGAAAATGGTTCTATATTGAACCATGAACACTCAGTGAACCCTTTGCATGATTTAAGGGTCCTTCTATTCTTACGATTGTCAATCTTGTTACAACAGAAGAACACTTTTTGGTGCTATATAGAACAATATAGAACCAGGTTTATCATGCAAAGGGTTCTTTGAGTGTTCATGGTTCTAAATAGAACCATTTACTAAAGAACCTTTGAGGAACCATATTTTTAAGAGTGTGACTGCACTTTTACTCTGGAGTGATAAAGAATGTTGTTACTGCATGTTTTAACACAGCTTTTTAAACAAGGCACAATGCAGGACAGTAGGTAAGACTAGAGGTCATTTACATACATTAGTCCTAAACTCACAGGAACAAAAAATGCCTGATAAATGCTAAGGGATAAAGAGAGGTTAGAAAAAAAGATAAAATTCTGACTGATTTTGCTATAAATTGATTCCACAGGGAAAAAAGATACAAATGAAGTGAAATATGGGCCCTTTAACAGTTGTCTAGGTAGATGAAACATATTTAAATTTTAAAGGGCACACATCCAACATTATTCGTGTATTTTTTTTGTATTTTATCCAACATTTTTTATGCGTTTTTTTTTTTTGCCTTAAAGGGCCACTTATATATTATAAGTGTGTGGTTTTATGTACCAAAAATGTTCATAATTCATTTTTACATGACCATTTTCCAACATCTCTCTTTATCCATTAGAACTACTGTCCCTTTAAGACTGATCTAAGGTAAATGAACTCTGTTCTGATTGGCTGCCTCATTCAAAAAGCACTCAGAGCTAAAACACTGCTTAGAACTTCAATATGAGTAGGCGAAGCTATACTGCTGTAGGCTGAAAAGGTGGCATCACAGAAAGCCCTTTATTTCAAAGATGTGAGAAATTCAGTTTTCCATGATATGAGCTCTTTAAACATGCAGTTTTAATGATGAAGCATGCTCTGAGTGAACTGTTGTGGTACCTTGCGCTAGGATGTTCCACTGCATGACGCGGATCTGCGGGTTGTGAGGGATGCTGCCTCTGGTGCGGAAGAAGTCTCTGTGTGGCCGTGGTGGCCGGTTCCTCAGGACCTCCTCACACTCGCGCAGGAGCGCCTCGGGGTCGGCCTGCTCAAACTCACACTCTTCAGGGTCCACGTGTGCGTGTGCCAGCGGCGCGCTGCTCAGAGACTGAGCCAGGGTGCTGAAGAGCCTGCTACTGCTGCTACTGCCCATCGGATACGCTGCAAAAAAACATGTAGAAGAACACGTGACTTGGATTTTTTGCATAATTATATGATTACAATGTAAACAAAGTCATTCAGAGTGGTTTGGAGTGAAATGCTCTGTTCTAGAGAAACTTGTCAACTCAGAATTGTTTGTAGTGGTGGTGATGGGAACCAGACGTCTGAGCTTAAATACTCCCTCACAGAAATGAGTATGAATACACTGCCTGATGTCTAAGATGTTGTTTACAATAAGTTTTAGATAAAGTTCTGGCCTAAAATTTTTAGATATATTCGTGGTGGAGTGTGTTATGAGGCAAAATAGTTCCTACTTATTTTGTTCACATTTACCACTATTTTACTGTTATCAACATTACTTAAAAGACACATGTAGGCGCAGTGGTCATTTCACATAGTAAATAAAATGGCTATATTTGTGTTGTAGACATGTCGACCCCTGGTTCCTATCACCACCACTGTAAAGAAATCCAAGTGTTTAAATTTCTCTACAATTAACCATTTTACACTAAACCACTCTGAACAACTGTTTACACGATTAAACTAGGCAGAAATGTTAAAAAGTCATTGGAATTCCCCTCCCCTTAAATTTGCTCAGTGCCTGAAGAGGAGAACTATACGACTTTGTTAGCTAGTGAGTAAATTACATTAGATAAACTGGATACACTATGTAATACTGAAACTGAAGCACACAAACAGCATATGAGCGCATATGAATCTAAAATAATACAGTCAGATGATTATTTGTGGCTGAACGGGAAGCATTTAGTCAATCCTTACCCTGCACCTCCATATTTTCCAGCTAGTTGCTCCAACAGACCCTCTACAGATATTCACCGTGTGTCTGAGCGAATGAGCGAGTAAGACAGACACACAGATAGATTTCTCAATAATGACCTCACGGCTCGACTGTCTGGGTCTGTGAGTCTGAGAACCAGGATTAACTCGATATGAATCACATGCACACATGAGATTGTGTCTGTTGCTTTGTACATGACCTCTAGTGACATTGTTGTATCATAGCCACCAGTCTTCATTCATGTAACTCTAAATCACCAGAACCCCCAGACACATTGAGTATTTAAGAGAAATGGTGCCTAAAAACATAACATAAAAAGATTGATGTGAAAACTGTGAGCTAAGTGATCCTTTTAACCCACAAAAGGTTAAACACTGCCAAGAAACACACTGTAGCTGTGCTGTTACTACTACTTTGACCTCCCTAAGGGCCGGAAAAAACAGCATGTAGCAATGAAGTTTATGAACTAGGGTGGGACGACGTGGACAATCACCAATCACCATACTGCACTGCTGAAAAGCCTTGCAATGTATTAAAAAGCTCTCTTTGAGCACCCCCTTGTGGAGAATCTTCAGCCTGCTAAACGTGATCCAATGAGTTCGCTCTTTAATTCAGGTGCATTGTGTCTAATAACATTAAAATCACTGAAAATTGTCATGTTGTACTATTTAAATATCTAAAATAATCTAAATGTAAATGATTTAGATCTGTTGGATCATTTAAATGCCTTGGTTCATCCAAACACCGAAAGAATAACTGTGTGAGGAAGCACACAGCACACTTGGGATGAGACAATACAAACAGTTCCTATCATGATATCAGTGATAAATGGTTTCAGATACTACTGTGGAAAAGTTCTCCAAAAGAGAGTATAATCAGCTCTGTTTAACTGGATTTAGTGCAGTTCGGTGTTTGAAACCTTGAATAAAAATCACTGTATTCAAAGTTTTTGATCATAATTTTTAAAACGTGGCACTAGTAGTTGTTTTTTGACTGTTCCAACTTATGTAGCATCAGAAAGACATCGTAAAAAGATCACGATGCATATTGAATAATTACGCATTTGTTCCACATTGCCCAGCTCTAAATTTGGAATTATTAAAATAGGAAAAGGTATGATTGCTATTAGACATCATTAAAAATGGTAACCATCGCATCCCTACATCACAAAACAGAACATTCAGTTATTGATAAGAGGCTCATTTGCATAGTATAGCCGTCTGCGATATCAGTATTGCGAAGGCTGTCACGATAACGATTTACAAAAGCTATATTGTGAGGCTAAACAGAACCGTTCTCAATGTTCTTTTTGATTATTTCTGGATCAATCCAGTTTGTTTAAGAACTCCAGAGCGTCTGACAGTGCATTTATTACATCACATTCAATGCTTAACTGATCACAGAGTACACAGAAGGGTAGTCACATGCAGATATAGTGGTTATTCAATAGCTAAAAACAGATGAACTGATTTCTGTACGCAAGTACCAAGTGTTTACATTTCTAATGGACTGGGTTAATATGGTCAGGTGTTATCTAAATAACTGCCTCAGCAGTTGTATCAGTTTTGACCACCTCAGTTGATCGCTGCCCTGTACTCTACTTCCCTTCATTGCTCTTTCACCCACTTTCCATTGACCCATTCGAAAATCCACACTGGAACTCATCTTCTAGAACCAAATCCACACAGATTTCTTCTCCCTTGTTCGCCTCCAACCTTCTTGCTTTTCTTTCACAGGTCTTTCACCATACCTCTCTGTATCTCCTGCTCCGACGACCCGGTCGTCCTTCACAGTCTGGTCAGTGGCTCCATCTGGGTCCAGCAGATGCCACAGTGGAGAGGAATGTCCCGCCCAGTCCAGCCATTGGGGTATTCAGTCCCGCTCTGAACGCATGCGAAGCTTCCTGCATGTGTGGATGCGACGGTGTGTGTGTGTGTGAATGTGTTCCCACACAGAGTCTTCGTGAATAGACCACTGTGTCTGAGCTTCCATGGTCATCCATGGTGGACAATGGTTCACTTTGAAAAACACGAGAGGAACACGTCCACACCCACACACATGCTGGTGAAGAGAACTGTCCAGTTTGTCCTAATTGAATCCGTGAGGAGGAAAGTGTGCCTCATTGGTCAGGAATGTAATCCAATAAGCCTATCATTTTATTGACTTTTGACCACTAAAAGGAGATTTAAACGCAAGAACGGAAAGAATGAAGAATATTTTTAGTCTTCTGCATCCCACAAAGTGTCGGCCTTTCTCGTGATATTTCTCTAACTGCTGTGTGCTGATCACTATCAGACTGTAAATACAGCAACGTCCTCTAAATTCAGTGTCATTAGGCTAAAGACAATAGTATTCTGTGATGAGGGATGTATAGTTGGACAAATTTCTGGAATGCCACGCATTTCATCTCAAATATCACTTAAGTCGTATTTTACATCAATTACCAGCGCACCTTAAACCGCTTAAAGGGGGACAACTTTTCAATATTTTTGCATAATTCAGTCTGTCATTCAGACTGTGCTGATGTAAAATGGTTCACTGTAGAGAAACTTACTGACTCTCATATCCTTACAGTAGGGGTGATAGGAAACGTGCACAACATAAATATAGCCATTTTATTTACTATCAAAAACCACCACTGAACCCACATGCATTGAATTTTTATATGTAATATTAATAGTAAAATAGCGGTAAACAAAAAAAGAAAAACTCTTTTGGGTACTATTTTTTCTGAGAAGGCCTGCTCAGTCGAACCTGTTTAGCCCAAAACTATCATAAAACAGTGTCTCAGCAATCACACAGTATATTTGTAACCATTTTAAGTAATAACTTTCTGTAAGAGAGCTTTCGGAGGATTCAGACGTCTGGTTCCTATCACCAACACTGCGAACAATTTTGACTCAGCAAGTTTCTCCACACTCATAAAGAAAAGAAAATGGTTCTTTATAGAACCATGAACACTCAAAGAACCATTTGTATGATTGAAAGGTTCTTTGCATCATGAAATGGTTCTACAGATTCATGGAGAATGTGTTATAGATGGTTCTATATAGAACCTTTTTGAAAAAGGTTCTATATAGCACCCAAAAGGGTTCTTCTATTGTTACGATGTCAAGCTTGTAACAGAGAAGAACGCCTTTGGGTGCTATATAGAACCCTTATCAAAAAGGTTGTATATAGAACCATCTACAGCATCTGAAGAACACTTTCACTATGCAAAGAACCGTTTAAGCATGCAAAGGTCTCTTTGAGTGTTCATGGGTCAATATAGAACCATTTTCTTTACAAAAGAAGCCTTGAAGAACCATCTTTTTTAAGAGCGTAGAATGGAGCATTTCACATCAAACCACTGAATGGCTTTGTGTAGACCTTATCAGGTTAACTGTGCATTTGTTTTTAATTAGTGGAACTCCCCTTTAAAGCAGACTTTCAGGCATTTATCACTGAGCTGCTGAACGGAGCTGCTTTTCATGTTAACAATGCTACTAAATTAAATGCAATAAATTCATATGAGTTTAATGTTTGCAACTCATTTATTAAGGATCTATAATAAGGTATTATGAGAAACTGACATCTACACTTGTGGGATGTGTGGAAGCCAAAAGGACCAGAGCCATGGACACATCCAAATAGAAACACTAGCTCAGTTGAACTTACATAATCACCCCCGTAGACCCCAGAGTCAAGCCATGTCTGGCCATGTTTCAAATACTATTTAATTGCTGTCATTATTGTTGAAGCCTTCTGAACTGGTCTAGGCCCAGCTTTCCCTTAAAAGGGGAATGTTTCAAAATTTCTACATAATTCCTTCACTGTGATGTAAATAGAGTCATTCAGAGTGGTTTGATGTAAAGTGGTTCATTGTAGAGAAACATTACAGACTGATTTCTTCACAGTGGTGGTGATAGGAACCAGGAGTCACATGTCTACAACATAAATATAGCCATTTTATTTATCATCCACAACACGAGTGAACCTACACGTGTCTTGTGAGTTTTGATATGTAATGTTGATGATGGTAAAACATTGTTTGGGAACTATTTGGCCTCACAACACCCTGCATGTACTCCTGCACCATTAATGGACTAAAATGGATAAACAAGACATTCTAGGCATTGAACTCTTCAGACGTTTGTTTCCTATCACCACCAAGAACAATTCTGACAGTGTAAATTTCTCTAGAACGGAGCATTTAACACCAAACCACTCTGAACGACTTCGTTTGAACCTCTGAACCATTTAATTTTGAACATTTTTGAAAATTGGTGGAGTCCCCCTTTAAGCATGACCAAATTTCACAACAACTAAACCAGTGTCAACCACAAACTCCAGCACACTCTCATGTACTGTAAATACAGCTGCAAATGGACTCACATTTCTGCTGGACACGCTGGTGGAGCAGCTGAGGTATGTGTTGGACGTCCACACTGACCTTTGAGTTTTGGGGGCAAAGTTCAGTGTTGCACAATCCCGTTTATCAGATTACTTGGCAGTGGAAGACACAGAACATAGTTTGACCAATATGGGCAGGTGATAAATAAAGTCAATAAGAAAAGTGTGTGGAGGACGCTTGGCAGTTTAAAAATAGAAATAAATAAAAGTACACAGTCCATATTTGGCTTACTGGACAGTTAGTCATGCCTTTCCTTCCAGTGAAGCACTGGCCCGTTCACTGTCGGCCCATAAAAGTATGTAAGAAATGATGCCCCAATGTTTTTGAATGAGAACATAACAAATGCATTGAATATGTAGATGTGAACACTCGAGGGGATGGAGAGTTGTGATGGGAGGGGACACGAACAGTCACTCCCACAGAGATGAGTCATGAAAGGTTTGACTCAGTCTGCCATTACCATATTTATGATATCCTTTATTAATATGAGCAGAAAAACGGATAAAATAATGACTGAAAACTGATAATAAACTGCATGTCTTTAGTAAACGAAGAAAGAAGATTAACAAGCCAAGAACACCCCAGCAGCTGTTTCATAGCAACGCCGCACCACTGCGTCAACAATCACGCTGTATCAATGCGTTAAGAAAGTAGTCCCTACAACACACCGTCAATAGCGTGGCCTCCTTTAAAGGGGCATTCCATCCATTTTCCTGAATAATTCAGTGGCTGAGACATAAACAGTCGTTCAGAGTGGTTTGACGTGATGTGCTTCATTCTAGAGAAACTTACCCAGAATTGTTCACAGTGGTGGTGATTTACTCAGCCTGGTGTCTGAGACATTGTTTTATATTGGCTTTGTGAAAACTTTATTTTTCTTTTATTATTTTCAGATTTAAGACCAATTTACCATTATCAACATTACATATAAAAACTCAGAAGACACTGGTGGTTTTCAATAGTGATTAAAATGTCTATATTTGTGTTGTAGACATGGTGACTCCTGGTTCCTACCGCCCCCACTGTAAAGAGGTCTGAGTCTGTAAGCTTCTCTACAAATGGACCACTTCACATCAAACCACTCTGAATGACTCTTTTCACATCACAAGGACTGAATTATTCAGAAATCAAGAAAAATTGGTGGAATTCCCCTTTAAGAAAGTAGTCCTTACAATGAAGCCTCCTTTTACAAAAAAAGAATAATAATAAAAAAAACCTAAACATAATTCACTTTCAAATCTTTACACTGTGGGCTATTTATTAATGGCTGAATCATCATACAGCTTAACAGAGCCGGTGATTCACACGCTGACAAGCGATTATTACTCAACCTACCAGGCACTGCCTTCTGAGCGGCTGAGGAGGAGCTGCTCGCCCTCGGTTGAGGCTGGCCGGTCAGGGGGGGTACAGAGCCGGCGTGACCGCGGTGTGGAGCCGGAGAGGGCGTCCTCTTGACCCGCCCGGAGCTCTTCGGCTGTGAACACAGCGACGACAGACAGAACGCAGCCAAGTCCCGCTGGAGCAGCGGAGCGCAGCGCCGTACCGGATACATATGACCCCGGACCGAGGATGAGCTAAACTACGTCTTAAAGATCTCCCCCAAAGGGCACTTCTTGGTCAGCCCACAACAGACGCCCCACTTTAGAGAAACCAGTCTTTAAAATCGCGTTTAAAGATAACTGAACGATTTAGTGTAGACTAACTACTTACCGGCGAATGTCTCGTCATATGTGGAGGAACGTACCATTCACGGAGAGGGCGCGACGAGTTGATGTTAAAACGTTCACAACGTTACTCTTGTAGGTTAAACAGAGTCACTTTTATGTATAAATATATATAACTCATAAAAGCACACAGATGATTAATTATAAAAAATTATGACGGGTTTAGACAGCGCTGCACACAGCGCGAATGGTTCAGCCCGACTGTAAGGGGACACTCGTGCTTTCCGTTCGAAGCGAAGCCGGAGGAACCTGCGGGCTAATTTGCATAGTATGACGTCTCTCGGCCAATCAGACGCGAGTGCGCGATGGAGCCTTTTAAAAAAAATCATTTTCATCATCAGTGACGTTTTGCAACCCTCACGCGCAAATTGTTCTAACAAACGCAAAAGCAGCCGGCGAAGATGAAAGACTGAGGGCTAAAGGTCGCCACGAGATGACTGCAATGTATATGTTTTCAGTTTACATAGTGGTTTATCATGATGGACCACAGCTGCTCATTTTCTAAGAAAACAGCCTGCATTTGAAAACAGCCAAATGGCTGATCTTAAAAATAACAATCACTCATGTATTAATGGGTACCATCCTATACAGGGCTATTAGAAAAAGGACGCATTTCAGCAGAGCTTTAAAGGGAAACTCCACCAATTCTTTAAAATGTCTGAACAATTGAGTCCTTAAGATGTGAACAGAGACATTAAGAGTGGTTTGGTGTGAAACGGTTCATTGTAGAGACTCCTTTACAGTGGTGCTGATAGGAACCAGGGGTCACCATGACTACAACACAAAAATAGCCATTTTATTTACAATCCCAAACCAACAGTAAACCTACACATGTCTTCTGAGTTTTTATTTGTAATGTTGATGAAGGTGAAATGGTGGAAAATCTGAAAAATAAGTTTTCTTTGGGGACTATTTTGCCTCTCAACACCCTGCGTGCACCCTCCACCATGAATGGATTAAGTAAACGGATTAAAACGCATTTTAGGCCAAAATGTTGTCTCAACACTATCGTAAAACAATTGGTTTAGACATCAGGAAATGTATATCTAACCATGTAATCACTTTCTGTGAGGGAGCTTTCAGAGGCATCAAACCCTTCAGACGTCTGGTTCCTATCACCGCCATTGTGAACAGTTTTGACCTGACAAGTTTCTCTAGCGTTTCACAGCAAACCACTCTGAGTGACTTTGTTCACATCTCAACCATTTAATTATGTAGGATTTTTGAAAAATCGGTGGAGTTTCCCTTTTAACAAACACACCTTCTCCAGAAACTGTGTACTGTCAGCATTACAGCAGAGCTGTTTTTTTTTTTTCTTTCGTTTGTTTTTGTGTTTTATAACAAGAAAGCCTGACATCAGCTGACATTCCTGTTAGGTGCAACAGAGATAACATTAAGGTTATGTAAGCAATTACTTCTTAGTTAAAATTCCACCACCAGAATGTTTGGTGCATGTCTGAACCCAAAACATCCCCTGTCCTATGTGGTTTCTTGGAACTGGGCCCAAGGCACATTATCATGTGTTTTTGTGTGTATGTAAGTATGTTAGCATGTTAACTTCTGCGTAAACTGGATAGTCTGTGTTGGGATTGTGTTTATGCTCAGGCTTTACGTGTATAAACTAAATATTATAAAATCTGGACTAGAGAAATTTACAAGAACAGGGAGAAACTTAAACTAAGTGATATAAAAATAAATCACATCCAGGCCCCATTTCAATACTTTCTTTAACCTGCCCTTGCCCACTTCAACTCACCTCTCGGATGTGCATCAGACTTACATTATATCAGTGTCCACTTGCAGCAGAAGTGAAGGAGGAGCGGATTATTTAAACGGAATGAGCTAGCCGTCGGCTAGGTTAGCCTTAGTGAATTAATTGGCTAGCTCCAGATAGCAAGAGGATCCAACAGTGGCCCACTGATGGCCAAGCTGGCAGCCCACTGGCTTTTTGCTCAGTTTGGAAAATAATTTTAACAGTAATATCATAAATAAAGCCAGTTATACAGCTGTAACCAATCTAGCAAAGTGTTAGCAATATTTTATATTAGTCCTAGTCAATAATTTTTTTCCTTATTAGTAGTTTAACGTATTTGTCTTAGTTTATTAACCCAAAATAAAAGACTGTCTGCATTTAAAATCAGTTTGAGGAGATAAAAACTAGTTAAACCTTGTGTGCAGGTCTGACGGTGGACTTGCAGTGGCATGACATACATGCTTGCTATCTGTGGCCATGCAGTCTTTGAAATGCTACACGTTCTTAGTGACATTTGAACATAACATACATAAAATCCATGAATAATTGCCTCGTCTGGGAATAAGCATGGTGTACAGCCATGATGTAGTGCCTTTCTTTTTGTTGTTGTTAGCCGTGTAGCCTTTAGAAGCTAACTAGCAAGGTAGCAAAGTGATGTGAAGGTGAAAATTGTATTGCTCAGTCATGTATAAGTGATGGAATAGTTTGCAACATACAGCCTACAAAACTCCATGTTATGGTTTTGATATGTGCAGCATTTTAAGTTAGTTTATTGCTGGGGCCTTAAAACATCTTTATCTGCCATTTTTGTTCAGGTTTGAAAGTGGAAATGCTTCAGATCGCAATGCGTTCTGCTGCCAAAGTTGACGCTTGTGTTCGCTCGATCAATAAATGTACACAGATTTGAGGTTTTCATAGGACCATTCATCTAAGCCGAGAACCTTTCAGGAACTTTTATTCTTAAGAGTAGGCAGTCTTTAAAGTGAGATCTTTCAGGATAAAAATGTAATCAAGACGATCCAGGACTGGCAGTGGTCTGAGTCTGATTCAGAGTCACCAGGTCAGCATAGATCAGAAATCCCGTGAACATACTGTCAGTCCAGAACGGGTCAAAGAACAGCCCATTCTGCTCAGAGTAGAAGATCTGAAGCCAGACTTGGTCTCCTTTAAGCAGCCGGAGGACTGTAGACCCAGATGCTACGTCATGGTTCCCAGTATTAGCATCAAAAGTCTTGATCTTGTACTGCCCGTTGTGAACGAGCCCGATTGCCAGATGTTTGTTAGCCAGTGTGATGTCATAGGTGAAGAAGTACACGCCTGGGATGGTGCAGGTAAACTTGCCACTGCTGGCATTGTAATGACCGCCCTCGTTCATTAGGATGCGATCAAACCGGATGGGCATGCGCTCCTTGGGATAGCTCTTGGTGATTGCTACTGAGAAGGCTGACCGCGCCTGTGTCCCGCAGTCACAGCCACCGGGAACACCGGCCCCACCCATATCTCCAGCTTCTCCCTTCAGCCCCGCCGTCCCAGGCACACCGGCTGACCCTCGTATCCCCTTTAGACCCCTTGGCCCTGCCCTACCCACAACTCCTTGGCGGCCCTTCAGTCCAGGTTTTCCAGGATTGCCCTGACGTCCTTGTTCCCCTGCAATTAAAAACATATTTGAATATTTATAAACATATTTGTATTCACTCTGTGAGTGACTACAGTGTCTTGCAAAGTGGGACTCGTAGTAATGTAGTAAGGCTGCAACTAACTGGTTATTTCTATAATCCATTAATCTATCTATACTATCTATACTTTTATTCGCATAACTGACTAATTGGACCATCAGTCCTCTGCAGTTCACTCTCACATTTGCCTCGTCACAGGGCCTGTCCAAAAAGAAACTCTAGGCCCAGGTGTCCCCTTCTGTGTACATACTTTGGTCATGCCAACAAAGTGTGGATATCAAGGTCTCCAGGGTCAGAAGAACAGACTCGTGCAGCATGCAGGCTCTGCATGCACTGCAACTGGCGAGATCGTCACTGGTGCTTTTTTTACTGGTCCTTTTTTAAACTAAAATTATCAAATACAATGGCACAATTCAGATTACAAGAATAATGCAGCTCAGTAAGGAAATAAATTCACAAAAAAGGCATTTTATCTTACACCTGAACATCCTATTCTTTGCTATGTTGGTCAGACAGCTATAAACAAATTCATCTCCTCTGCTCCTCGTCTGTATCTCAAGGCATTTTTGGTAAGAAGCCTCTGTTGAGTCCATATCAGTGCAGTTTTTGCCAAAGGCCGCACTAAGGATCCATAGAGGGCACTCGTGAACACCCCTTTGAATGGCCAAAATGAAAAACGGGGCACCTTTAGCCTCACATTCTCTGTGTACCTGTGCAATTGAGGATCGCAGGACTGCAAGTGCATCAGTTCAGACCGGGCGACAGCGTCACCATCAGTCAAAGCTCTATCTGTGCAATAAGCAATTTCAAGTTATGAAACAATGGGATCCATATCGCCCCCTGCACTTCCTGTATACTGCAGTCTGTCAGAATGACAGACAGGGTTGGGCATAATACTTAAGAGTAGTGACTGTATTCGATTACAATACATAAAAAGTAATGTGTTCAGACTACATTTAGAGTACATTTTGATAAGACACACAAAAAACTCAGGATGGCAGTTTTCTTTATTTAATTCTTCTGTTAATATGTTTAATATCTGCTTATCATTTGAATGAAGTTCTAAAGTTCTCAGCATTGATAATCTATGAGTCTACTCAGGCTTTAGCTGGAATTCAGTGTTTGTAAGGAAGCCATTTATTTGGTTCCTCTAACATGTGTCTGCTTAATGCCTTTTGCAGATTTTAAAATAGTTAATAGTTATGTTAATAATTAAGCATAATTTATTTAGCATTTATTAATTTCTTTTTAAGATTTACGTTTATTTTTTTTAATTCAGTGGGTATATATATATATATATATATATATATATATATATATATATATATACACACACACACACACACACAGTGGTGGACAGCGCGCCCTTTGTTTTGAGGTTGTTTTGACCTGTTGGACATACCTACCCAGTGCAAGCATACGGTTCAGCGTCAGTGCAGCAGTGTAAAATTTTGGGAGTGTCTATTCAACATAAATGATGGAAGAAACTCCTGACTCTAACCAAACTTTGTGTAAATAGACCACAATATAGAAATATGTCCACATATGTAGTTGTGACTGGCCTGTTTCTTTTTTCTGAATTTATACAAACAATATTTCATTTTATAGTAAATTTGTTTTTGCTAGTTTATGTTTATGAACAGAGCCGTACAGATGCAGTTTAGTAAAGTAAACTCATTTGTGAACCTGAGTTTAAAGCAAGTTTTTATTAAACTTAAACTTGTAACTAAGTTGCAAATAAATCTTTAACCAAAACTTTGCTTGTTTGCCACTCGGTTCTACATAATGGAAATTGTTTGCCTTCAGTGTTTTGTGCTTATGATCATTTTAATAGACATCAGCGTCAGACTAATTAATGACATTCTATTAAAAGATTGGTTTACGAAGAGTGACACTTTCACCTAAAATGAGTTGATAAAGCAAGAGTCTTGTTACAAAAAATGGTAATAGGACATTAAAGCCATAATTAATCTTTTAGTATTTTTACTTTTGACACTTAAGTACATTTGAAGGCAAATACTTTTGTTCTGTTACTCAAGTGGAGGTCTAAAGTGAGGACTTCTGCTTTTACTGGAGTAATATTTTACCTTGGGTATCTCTACTTTAACTCAAGTACATGGTTTGTGTACTTTGTCCACCACTGTATATATATATATACACACATCACTGCTGTCGGACCAAAACCTCGTATCTCCAAAATGGTAACTTTACAGGAGAAGGAAAAAACATACTTTACTTCTGATGTAAGTCAATAAAACCAGACTTTTTCCCAAGTAATTTTGGTCCATTTCTTTTTGTCCATTTAGCGTCAAATGTTAATATAGCATGCACTCTTAAAAAAGATGGTTCTACATGGAACCTTTTTGAAAAGAGTTCTATGTAGCACCAAAACGGTTCTTCTATTGTTACAAGCTTGTTTCATAACAACAGCAGAACCCTTTTCAAAAAGGTTCTATATAGAACCATATACAACACATTCTCCATCAATCTGAACAACCATGTTTCATGATACAAAGTACCCTTTAGTCATGCAAAGGGTTCTTTAAGTAATCATGGTTCTACATAGAATCTTTTTCTTTACTGAAGAACCCTATATGAATGTATGAATACTTCGTTCACTATCCATTTAGATTTTTTTAAACCAGTCTTTGTTTATGCTTATGAATACCTTTCTGTTAATATTTAAAAGTGCAAAATCAGAAGACTTTATGTATGTAAATATTAAATGATAAAACTAAAGTGTCATAATACATTTTTTCGCTCACTGTAAGTCCATTTCCTTTTTGATCAGTAGTAATCAAAAGGATGGCCATGTTTGTCTTTTACTGACAATTTTGACTTGTGAAATGAACAAATTTGAAAGGTGGTAACAAAAAATATGGTCATATCACTTACAAACTGACATATTTGGTCTATGAAATGAGCAACAAGGACATGTGGTGGTTAACGATTTCCATTCGCAACTGATTTGAAAACAATAATCATTAAGTAATCATAGTCTTATGTAGATCATATAACTCGGTGTTGAAAACACAAAAGGTCAGCATAATAAAGAACACCAGAAACAGGCCGTTGATCACCTCTATCTCCTTTCTGACCCTTGTCTCCATCCTTGCCATCCTGACCATCGCTGCCAGGCAAGCCCATCCGGCCGTTGCTCCCGCTTGGCCCTGGAGGTCCAGGACTGCCCGGAGGACCCTGAGGCCCCGGTAGACTGCAGACCAGCTGGGATGAATGAATAGTGAAGTTGTGTCCTTTCTTAATGGCCGAATTCACAGTGAGCACAGATGACAGAGACAGCAGGCATATGGCCAGCAATGGCTGATGCATGATGCAGCTGTGACTGAAAGCAAAGCCAAAGTTTTGTTTTGTATAGTGCACAAGAAGACAATCCAGCATTTTAATGCATGCATACCAGCACTGAGCAATGTATCATACATATATTTTAAATAAGCTTTTCATTTGAGAAATGTTGCATTAAAAGTCATTAAGTTGCAACTCTTTACTTCATGTTGTTGGCAGTCATGCATCTGTATCATAATCCAGTAAGGAATACAAAGGATATTTCAAAATTGCAGTTTGGTCAAGAGATTAGAGGTGAACATGCATTCACAAAAGAACTCACCGAGCGTCTCGTTTGGGTGTGCCGACAGGCCCCGTTCGCCCTCACAAAAACTGAAACTAGTCGATATTCTGTGTCTCCTGCATGCAAGAGCAGCAGCATCCACCCTGTTTTCATTTGCACTGCCAGATACTTTCACCATGATGTAACAGGGGAGGGGATTCTGAAGGGTCTGTCCAAATCTGAACTGTTGTAGATCAGATTTGTTTGCTGCCATGCTGTGCTAAAACATGTAGCAGGGCAGCTGGAGGCAAAATGGTTAAAGTGTTGCAAACTACTGGAACCTGTTCATTCAGACAGAGTGGTAGCAGTATTTGCTGTACTATTAGAACAAGTCATGACAATTCATGTAGTTTGAGTAGTTCTACAACATCTGAATTGCCTCTTGCATTCCATGTAATTTTGCAGTTATCTTTCCACATTTAAACTTGTGCACGCATCCGTTAAACACTGTCTACTCATGAGAAGTGAAAAAGGTGATATGTTCAGAAACCAATCCCTTGTAGCAGGTCCAGTCATGTCATTTATAGGGGAAAATTTTAGTGACGTTAACATGGAATTCTTGTGCACTCTGAAACTAAAATACAGGGGTAATTGCTGTGGACTGATTTAGTTCACAGAGTTCAGCCAGACATGTCAAAGATGGTACTGTTTTCCAGGTGTTTTTCATTTCACAATCTGTTGCTCATCAAATCAAAAAGGTCAGTGTGTATGGATTTTGGCATCTCATTTTGAGATCCCACATCTGTTATAAGCAGCAGCCATTCAACTTGCCCAGCATTTGTGTTCTGGCTTGGTGCTCACAGATCATAGTGCTTGGACCCCATTAATTGCCACTTATCATTTGCATTATAATTTGTAGATGGTTCTATATATCTCACAGTGGTTGATGACACCCCAAGCCTTTTGGAAGAACGTTCTGTGGACTGAGTCCAAAGTGGAACATTTTTTATCCTCCAATAAATTAAATGATCTTTTGACAATGTTGTGTGTGTCGCTTCATGTTCTCATGTTCTTTACATCTTATATTTCATTTTGTACAAGGATCTGAAAAAAACATTTAAGGAGATAAATAGCCAAAATTGAGGAAATCGGAAGGGGGCAAATACTTTTTCACAGTACTGTACATATAACATGTAACATGACATACCATGACTGGCAACATATCACTGCCGTCAGAAGAAAACCTAGTATCTCCATTTTATTATTTGTAGACATAATTTGTAGATGGTTGTGTAGATCTCACAGTGGTTACAGTCCACAGAAAACGCGACCTACGTCAATTTCAAATGCAAACTAAATGAAAGCTGATTGTATTGGTTGCTAAAATGAAAATTTACATTTTATCCCTTTTTGTGTCAACTGTTTAAAAGCTTATAAAGAAACAAACCTGACTGCGTGAAAACGAAACCAACTACGCTGCTCATGATTCATGGTTTAATTTCATGTTTCTGTAACATTATCTTGATTCAGCCAAATGACATACTATATCTGTAGATTATCTGAATAATAACCGTGAAATGCTGCTGTGCTGTCTTTGAGAAAAAGGAGGAATTCTCTCTTAGAAGCTCTGTTTTTTGCATGAGACATGATACAGAACACAGCTCACTTACATATATCAGTATTAAAAGCACAGTAACAAAAAGAGCCTGTTTAATTCCAAGGGACAAAGAGAGGTTGAAAAAAATGGTCATGTGAAAAAATACTACCATTTTTGGTTTATAAACCCACAACAAACTTTATGAGTGATCCTCAGGAGAGAAAATAAAATAATAAAATGTAAGATATTGGTCCCTTAAAACGAGCTAGCAGGGCAAATCCTTATTCACTGTAACCCTAACAGCACTAAAGAACAAAAAGCACAATGCCTGGTTAAAATCTATATATTATTACAAAAAAAAGAAATGAGCTATGTATCAAGAACCAATGTCACATTTTGCCATGCACGCTGTATTTACAGGTTTTAATTACTGAGGATTCATAATCATGTACTGCCAAACCAGAACAAACAAGACTATGGTCAGCAAATGGTTGATGAAGTCCAGTTCTTTGCCCTTACAAAAAAGTAGGTGGATCAGCAAGATGACTTATTTAACGTGCTGTTGGAGCCAATAGGGCAAAGGACAAAAAAACAGAAAGAGTCGTTCTCCATCACTGGTTGAGGAAGGAGGCCATGGGGTCATCAGGCCGGCTGCGTTTCATACGGAAGGCCTCCATCTCCTCCTCTGTGGGCTCGCGCACCTCCTTCAGGCTGTTGTAGGGCCTCTTTCTCTCATCCATCTGCATTATCTCTGCCACCTGCTTCAAGCGCTGGTCCTCTGCAGTCAACGCCTGCCATAAAAAAAAAATTTAAAAAAAAAGACACATTTGAGCTTTTAGAATTTACCAAAAGAAAGATACAGAACACAGTTGGCATTAAAGGGGGATTTTACTGATTTGTCAAAATGTCTCAGTAATAAAATTGCCAAGGACAAAGTCTTTCAGTATAGTTTGATGTGAAATGCCCCACTCTAGAATCAGAACTGTTCACAGTGGTGGTGATATGAACCAGACATCCACTATTTTACTATCATCAGCATTACATTTAAAAAGTGAGGCTCACTGGTGGTTTTGGATAGTAAATAAAATGGCTATATTTGTGTTGCAGACATGGTGACTCCTGGTTCCTATCACCACCACTGTTGACTCTAGAATGGACTATTTCACATCAAACCACTCTGAAAGACTCTGTTTAAATCTCAACCACTGAATTATATAGATATATTTTTAAACATCTGTGAAATTCCCCTTTAACATGCATCCTGGGTGAACTGATCAAACTAGACACCACCAAGTGTGAGGGACACTGATCAGAACAGCTTCAAATGACTGCCTTAATGAGCTGCGACATCACAGCAGAGACGAAAGCAGTTGCGTAGCTTAAATTTTAGTCTTTTCTACCATTTGTTTATAAGCTAGCAAGCCATGTGATCTAAAGGTTTGTAACAGTCCTTACATTTACGCAGGGATTTGCGGTACATTTCTGTTTGAGAACTAATGCAGCGAGAGGCTGACATGGTAAATGTACACTGAACCCTTCCTCCCATCACAAACTCTGATCACAAGTGGTCAGTACAGATGCATTAGAGATGCATGGAAATGCCAGGTGTAAATGGCTTTATGTCTTGCTGTCCTCTTATGATCAGACGTTAATACCAAGTGTGAACAGGGCCACAGACGTACGGTGCTGTGTATTTGGCCCCTCCTGATTTCTTCCATTTTTACAGATTTGTCACACTTAGTTCTAAACCACTGCTAACGAAGAGAAACGTAAATGCTCGTCTCACATTTGCCCAAAAAACATTGACGACCCCCCCCCCAAGCCTTTTGGAAGAATGTTCTGTGGACTGACGAGTCAAAAGTGGAACTTTTAGGGAGACCCCGTTACATCTGGCGCAAAGCTAACACAGCATTTCTCAGCAAGAAGCAAACATTCTTCCTTCAATAAATTAAATGATCATTTCAAATTGTTTTGTGTGTCTCTTCATGCTCTCATGCTTTACATCTTATACTGCATTTTGTTCAGGGATCTGAAAAAAACACATTTAAGATAATAAATAGTTAAAAATAGAGGAAATCAGAAGGGGGCAAATACTTTTTCGCAGCACTGTACATATAACGTAACAGAACATAACGCAACTGGAAACACGGTCAAGAAAATGGAAAACACAGTAACACAAAATCTAAAGGTAAAACGGTTTGGAAAAGCACCCTTTTCAGCTTCTCCTTCTTCTTAGCTTCATCTTCCTCGTCGCTGCTGTCCACATCCTTCTTCTTGTGTTTCTTGCTCTTCTTCTTTTCCTTCATCTTTTCTTGGTGCATCTGTGGTGAAACACCATGTACATCATACTGACAGTTAGCAGGTCTCAATGAAAGTTATCCAACAGGATCAGAGAGAGCAGAGTTGATTTTATTCACACAACCGAAAGAAGGAAAAAGAAAGAGCAGATAAAGAGATGAGATTCAGCTTGACTGTTTACCTCTAGAAGCGTCTTTGGAGCCTCCTCTTCTGCGTCGTCTAAGCCCTCCTCAAATGGAACACATGTGGAGCTCTGAAAAAGTGATCACTGTTATGTTCTTCTGTCTGGTTTTATCAGTGCAAACTGATTTGACAAAACTATCATCACTAAATCATTTTCTTAAATAAATTTCAGGTTGCATTCAATCAATCAATGTGCCACAAGGTGCAAACTCACCACTGTTTTCTTGCCAGCCTCTCCAGTGCAGTAACTCTGTTTGACCAGTGAGTGGCAGCATTTGTATCCCCAATTGCCGTCTTTCCAGTAAGAACCCCAGATGCACTGAAAAACAAGATTTATGAAGAATTTCCTTATTTGTATGTTGTTGCTGTCATAAGGGAATTTCCATCATGGTAACTTCACAGGAGGAAAAAAAAGTAACATTCATAACAATTAGGTTATTCTTATGAACATGACAAATACTAGGACTTGAAAAATTACATTTACACGACAAACTTTTACACAAACAACGAAGCCTGGTTGAATAATGAAAAATAAACGTAAATTATTTCGATTTTTAGTAACGTTTTCCAATTTAAGTGGCCAAATTCCTATTGCTGCAACATAGTAAACACTGAAAATAAATCTCTAAATGCTTCCCCCCAACTTTTTTTAAACTGTCAGTCTACACATTTAATCGTACTAATATTTTATTAATGTTTAAGTTATTACAATATATATCATATACAATATATTATAAATACATACAAATATATACATACAAAACATATTTTCTCCCATTACTGCAACACTTTGACAGCCACAGGACTTCTCTTTGTACTTGTGCCATGTAATATTTTGTTATTTATATTATTTTATTGTTTATGAAGAAAAAGTTAAGAGATTTGACAGTTAAAAGTTAAAACTAATTTAAACTAATCTAATTTAAAAAGGCAACAAAAAAAGAAACAAACAAAAAATATCTATATTGTTATTAGCAATGAGAAATGCTGTAACCTAAGCTGTACCCCAACTGTGCACATACTAAACTGCCTGAATATTTTTTACCTGCATGATGATGGACACTCAAATATTTATAAACACGGTTTTGTGAGAATGACCCATCTGGTCACCTAATGCACAGAACATTTTAAGGGGAGCTGGGATTTTCATGTGGCATAAATAATTTTTACAATACCGACAGGCACTTACAGTGTGGTTATTAATAAGAACGTCCTCCTCATATTTTGAGCGGGCCACTGCTTTCTCCTGACCCTTAATGACGGCTCCATGCCGAGAGTACTCCATGTAGTCCTCCGTCTGAGCCAACAGCAGCTCCCGTGGAGGAGCGTCCAGGTGCTCCTGACCTCCATACTACAGGCAGAAGAGAGAGCAGAGGAGTCACACTTGTGGCCCAAGAGGCGCCAGAATAATAACGCTCTATGAGGAAAAAGGAAGAGTGGGCCGCTCTTGGCTGTACCTTCTCCAGGATGCTCTCCTTCTGTTGCTCTTTGAAGTCTTCCTTCTTGACCTTGAAGGACTGATGCAGCAACTCCAGTTTGGTGGGATCAGCCTGCAGGTGCACGTCTGACCCCCTTTCGTACGCCTCCCAGGCAAAGACTGCAGCGAAACGCAAAGCAAGAGAGTGGATTTACATGACGTGTGCATAGAAGTAAGACCACAAGGGGGAGACAATGATGAAAATGGACATACAGTCACATTATTAGTCAAAAGCTTGGACGCACCTGATTAAATTTGTTTCATAATCTCCTGACTAAATTACATGTTTTGTTGATTTTCTAAGAGAAAAGTTAAACATCCTCTATGGAGAACACACTTCTGCACATTTTAATGCACAATTACTGTTTGCTGAATTGGTGAATTTAACATAATGAAAAAAATAAATAAAAATAAAATGTGGCCTGCGTAAAAGTTATGACAATTTTTCTATCTTATGTTTTGTTTTTTCCAGTACGTTGAACGAGCAAAAGGATGTGTTAACGTATTTCTTAAAATAAACAAAACATGCAACTTGACCAGAGGTACTCAAATTTCTGCATAAGACCATATAATAATAATAATAATAATAATAATAATAACAATAACAATACCAACAACATACAACAACCACACTTTGAGGATGTGAAGCCTCAAGGCAGTGCAATACATGGCCTTTTTACTATTATTGGAAAATAAGGAAAACTCTTATACATGTTTACTATTGTGCAAAAGTTTGGAATCACTTTTTATATTAATAACATTTAATAATTATTAACGTTATTTTATATATAACAACAATTTATGTAACACATGTTTAAAGACTCAACTAAAAACAAAGAGGTACTTTTTTGATTTGAGCATTTTGGCAGCAGCAAGAATATTATTATTATTCTTCAAGGATAAATAACATTTTAACTGTCAATTTATAGGAATCATTTGTCAAGTTATCTGCCTTGAGATGTGACTGATATGTAATATACAAGGTAGTAGGAATATTAACTGTACTATAACTTGATGCTGTTCATTCAAAGTCTTCTATAGCTCTGTTAAACATTGTGAACACATCTAAAATTTCCTCATTTCTTATTTATATTTTTGTAAAAATATTTGTAATTATACAGACTGATGTTGCACAGAACTCTATATTAGAATAAGTTTATATTCTCCATATCATTGTTTTTGTCCATACTGGTTTAATGTTACAGAAAACTCCAATCTGTCCAAACTTTTAAACAGTAGTACAGGTGTGTCCAAACTTTTAACTGGCAAGATCAGTGAAAGCCATAAGACAGATATTTCCTTGTTTGCGCCACTTCAAAAAGGCCAACAACAATAAAAGTAAAATGGCTGCTTACGCTGGGTCTGTGCCATGGAAATTGTGTCTCCAGTGTAGCGGGCAAAGTTGTCTCCAGCATAACCCACCCTGCGAAACCAACACAAGCACACTTAAGAACAAACTCATTCATTTTCAGATATTAAAGGAAAAGTTTTAAACAAAGCACTTTCTTTGCAAGCAGACAGTAAAATGTAGACACAAACGTACTCCTCTGGATTCTTGCCGGTGTTGGAATATGGGTTTTCCCTCATGGCTCGGGTCTTTGGGTCGTAGTAAGCTGAGTTTGGGTCCAGGTTTCTCAGGTACTGTAACATATTGACAGCATTAGTTTGGAAAACCCTGATAAAACACTCTCTGAATGCTGACCTTTATATTAAAGGGGCTGCCAGCTTGTGCTGTTAATCTGTTCATGCTTTTAGCAGCAGAGTCCTGCATGAATTTAATACTGACTGTAACATAAACAACAATATTGGTCATTTTGATTGAAAGATTTTAGCACTTTATTTTTCCTGTGGATCTGATTTGGAACTATATGGAAAGAGGCTGATGTAAATTTTTCATTTGTATCAATCAGAATTACAGCAGATATTTTACATTTTAGGGTTTACTTTCTTCAAATGTGACTTCAGTTAATGATCAGCACATATTTTTAGTATTTGCTATCAGGCTGACTGCCCCTTTAATGCAACAGTTCCTTTACCTTTAGCCATAATATTTCAGAAAAGTCATGTGACATTTAGCTCAGTGTTGATATATTGTGTGAAGCTGTTATGAAGTTGCAAGTGTCTGTCAGCTGCTTCTAAAGAGAAACGTTCTATAAAGCAGCCACTTACCTTAGCAATGTCCTCCCTGATCCTCAGATTCCTTACAGTGATGCGTCTCTTAGAGTCAAAGTTCTGCCCAGGCATGTCGATATCATCCGCATATTTATCCTCGTCCTCATCCTCGCTGTTGTGCTCTCTCTCCTGGAGAAAGAAAAGCAAACGAAGAGGACAGAAATTACTCTGAATACGTTATTACAACTTGTTATTTAATCAAATGTACTATGTTTTCATCTTGTTTTTGGTCCCAAAATTGTGAATATACCATCAGTTTACATTACATCGTGTCCAGTTTATGACAACTCAATCGACATTATTCCATTATTACGGAATAACAGTTATTAATATGACACATGACTTCAATTACTTGATTGGTAGTATACAAAACATCTTATAGTGCAGCTCTTAATCAAATATACCATCTTCTGTATTTATTCTTTTACAAGGTCTTTTATATTAACCTGTCTAAAATAATTTAAGTAGACCTTCACAGAGTACTTACTGTTTGATCCATCAGTTTTCCTGTGGCCAACTCCTCCTGTAGCTTCTGGGCTTTCAAAGTGCGCTTAGCCTGTGAAAAAGAAAAAGCAGAAATGAGAAAAACATCACCACCTCAACTGGAGCCAAAATGGCCAGCTGCACCTTTGGGTACAGTTTAGTAAAGTCATAACACAGCCAAAGGACTTGCCAGGTCAACTTTTGCGTACTCCTCCACAATGCGCATATGTTCGTCTGGGTCATAGCCGTTCCAGCGGTCTCTCTTCCCATCATAGTCCATTAAGAGCTGGATTTGTTGGTGCTCATCTGGAGCAATTCCAGTACCGGAGAACTTGGCCCCAACCTTTCTGGGCCGCTGTGAGGAAAAACAGCATTGTCTTGGCTTTAATTCATTGCCCTGAACACCTAAGGCTAACGACAAGTATGTACATGACATTCTGAAAGCTCCTTTTGCTTTTTCAAAACAGGCATTAACACTTTCTTACTAGGAGCAGAAGGATGTTTTCACTGCTTGAATGGGAAATTTTCTCTGTTTTGTATGTTTGTTCTGTTTGCTGAGTGTAAACCGTTCAAACATGGCCAAAATTATATAGTGCATAGTGGCTGCACATAGCTTTGGCACAAAAAATATTTCTATATATTTCTCTTTTGCCTTATTTAAGGTCTCTAACAATAGCATTATTTGAGTCATCACAGCAACAAATGAATAAACAATACAGGTGTTACGATTATGATGATAATGTTATCATCTATTCCTTTACCTCCAGACAGTCCTTCTTCTTGTGTGTCATGGCTCCACAATTCTCACATGCCCCTTTTCTGTATTTTGTAGCGACAGATTTCTACAGAAAAAGGGTGCAAACCATTAGTATTCATCCCCCTACCAAGACTGAATTACAATGGAACCGAATCATAAAAAGCTGCTTACATCCTGCACTCCTCTCTTATACCAGTCTCCGATAGCTGAGAACTCTGTCTGTTTCTCTGTCTGAGGCCTCTGGTGCTTGAGTGTAGGTCTCTTTGAGGGGTCAATGTACCATGGGACGGACGCAATATACTGAGGAATGTGAGGGTTGATGTCCCTAAAAACAAAATAAGTAAACAACAAAATAAGAGCATGAAAAGGATTGTTTTCTTGGCAGTAAATCACTTTAAAATGTATATTGTACCACAGCTTTGTCTGAAATTGCATAACAAACTAGTGCTCAAGAGAGATTAGTGTGTCCAAAACTGTAGCATTCAAGACAAAAACAAAAAGTAGCCATACAACATCAGGATAAAGTTCACACACAAATACGGGACACTATTAATTCCCACTGTTCCAGCAGTTCATACAGGTGTAGCCAACTTTGAGAAGACAGCAGACCTTCTTAATAACAACACATATGTGATACTGCTTGTTGTAAACTTATCAATATTCTAAAGGGACACTTTGGTACATCTGCTACATCTGTTCTAAACATGCCTTCTTGCCTCCTACAGTGGGGCTACAATAAGTTTCGACAATAAGATTTTCCAGTTTAAAGTCTAAAACCCCTTCTAATGATGTATCGTCAAGGTTTAAGAACATTTGCTGTGGGGTGAAAACAGCTACTTAAACAGCTTTTTTCAAATGACTGTATGTTGTATTTGTGCAATGCATGCTGGATATTGTAGTGAGAGAACTGAGAGTGACAAAAACAGGAGAAGGATGCAAAAGTGTGTACAGCCATAGTGCAAACTGCCTAGTGAAGGGGAATACCGCATTTATATAATATCATTTTGTTAAGGTCACTGGGAACAAAGCCAGTTTTTTAAAGGAATACTATCCAGAGCTATGAATATATTATTTTTTGTTTAACATTTACACACTGCAGCGCAGTTAATCCATTTACACAGCACTAATTATGCTCTCTGCAATCATACATGCGGTTGGTCAGTATTCTATTAGTACTGACGATGCACACGATATGCTCAGAGCATACTGTGATGTAATTCAGCACAGCAGTGATAAAATAGCATCATCCTGCCCAACGACTCATTAAGTATCAAGTGTACTCTGTTCATCTACTTACTTTCCTTCTTCGTCCACCTCTGCAGGAGCATTGCCCAGTTTGCGCTGCTCCTCCAGCTCCTTCTTCTTCCTCCAGTCCTCTCTGGTCATTTTCTTGGGCTCCTCCAGGTCCACTATCCCCTCCTGACCCAGCTGCTTCTCCTCTTCTTTCGACATTGTTTTTCAGGACACAGGTCTCTACACAGAAGAGATTTCAACGATGAACCCAGAGGCACCAAAAGACAAACACACAGCTGGGTGAGGGGAAAAGTCTAACATAAGAGGGCAAAATGGCAAAAATATAAAATTGCACAATTGCACAATATTTCATTATATTTATTTATTCAGACATCTGATCAGCTGGACCTGAGAAAGAAGAACCAGTAGCGCTGCATTTAAAAAAAAAATCTATGAAAAACTGTGAATACAATGATTTTTTTATTCAATATTTGGCATCGTGTGTTGCACTAAATCTAGTTAAATCTAGTATAAACAACTCTTTATAGTCCGACATGCAGTTGTTCAGTGTTGTACAGGCACTGACAATATCGACGATATGCTCAGAAAGGCATACCGTATTGTATTGTGACAAAATTGATCACGATAATGATATATCCTGTCATATTGCCCAACTCTATAAAATAACATACTAAGTATAAGGTATAAAACGATGCTCTCATAAAGGATTTTCTGAGATTTCGGTCAGTATAAGCCCAAAATTGAGGTTGCTAATGTGTAGTAAGACCCTTCAAGGTATTTCTAAGAGTACTGTCATGTTTCAGTAGCGCTAAATGTTGATATTAAGTTATACAAAGCATTTCAAACACTGGAGAAATATTCCTAATTTCGTAATAAGTTCCCTCAGTCAGCGATAACGGTAATTATGTTTAGTGTAGGAAATTAAATGTAGCCTGTGACGTTAACGCGAACGAAAACGTAGCGCAGCACAACTCTTACATTTATGTCGACGGATGGCTCTTATTACTGATTCTAGACTGAATATTTCAGTAAAAAGTTCTTGATAACAGCTGATTAGCTTCCTATTCGCCAGCTTCTTGTTCAAACGTTCCCGTTCCACCTTAAACAGCGCAACAGTGCCTCACTATTTAAGGTGGAACGGGCAAAAAAGAAGCCAAAAAAAAAACAAATCCGTCTTTTCTCAAATTTCCTCCGATATGAAAGAACAAGAGTCGCATCCTTGAGCTGACAACACCCAGTAAATTTACCTGGTAACTCGACGACCGTCTGGAACTGCGAAGAAACGTAAAATTAATCCACGAAATCCTGAGTTCCCACTAGTAGTAAACTTCCGGTTAGACCAAAAACGAGTCTAAATAAAAGTCACCAAGCATCCGTTCAATCTGTTAAATAAAAATGATACAGAATCTGAACTGGAAACTCGTGGTTGTTGAATTTACTACTAATAAGTAAGTAACTAAGTCATAACGTGTGCATTAATTTAATTTATTTATATTATATTTTAAATATATTGATATTTCACAGTGGGCTGTTATAATTTTATTTAACATTTTCTACGTTTTAAATTCCCTCATTTTTTCTTTGTAACAAAACGCTGGAAAAAACTTTTAATTTGAAATTTATTGTCAATTATTGCCCAGTGCCATCACTAATGATCTGAAATATGTTAGATGAGAGTTTCTTTCTAGTTTCTTTCTATTAGGTAACAGTATTGGTAATTTCATATTTGTTCATTTATGTCATAGAGATTTCATATGTAAATAGATGCTAAAAATGCTAAAAAAATAAACAGAAAATAAAGAAAAATAGAAGCTAAAAAAACGATATTTCAATTTTCATGATTTTCATGAAGAGGACATATCTTCATTAGACAATCTGCATTTTTTTTAATGTAGACAAATTGAGAAGACTGACAAAGAAGGATGTATCAGGAAAGATTATAATCCAAATGGATTAAAAGTAGACTTAAACAAGTTTAACTTCTACACCAGTTACAAATTAAAGCTGAATAGACACAGTCAGAGGGAACATATGTCAGTAGTCTGCTTTGTTTAAATATAAAACAAAAAAGGTGTTAGTTTCTTTAAAATTATTATTTTTAACTTCCATTCTTTTCTCATCTTATCTGACTGTTACAGATAACATTCAATTAAGCCATAGTATTTCTCTTACTTTGTTGTTTATGTGTAAAAACAGGCAAATGTGGTACAATTTTAGTATAATCTGCTAAAATCATGAGCTGTGACATTTTTAAATACAGAGGAGATGAAACACTTTAAATACAAAATATTAAAATGAAATCACTGTAAAATAAAACAAAAGAAAAAGTAAAAGATCAGAGCCTTATTTATTTACAAACACACAATTATACTTCAGTTATATCTAACATCCTCCAACATGTGTCAGGCTCGAGTCCTTTTGGGCCAAAACACTGCAGACTTCAGCACTGCCTCAGTAAACACACCTGATTCAGCTCATCAGCTAATTAGCAAGACTTAATGAACTAAATTCAGAGTGTTAGATGAGGGTAAATGCTAATAAATCTCTCCAGCACTTTGGCTCAGAAGGTCCTCAGTTTGACATGCCTGCCTTAAAAGAAGATCATCACATATAGTTACTTCTTTTTTCAATTAAATAGCAAGCTACACAAATTACTACATTTGCAGTAATACAAAATGGTATCACTTTCTATGAATGTCACATTTGTAAGCATCTATAAACACATTTATAACATGTTATAAGGCATTCAAATGGCATTATAAACATGATTATAAACATTTATAAAAATGAATTACACTTTATAGCCATGTTTATTATGCATAATGAATTGTTAATATAATGCATTATAAGTAGTGTTCTGCGATGGACTGGCGACCTGTCCAGGGTGTATCCTGCCTTCCGCCCAATGACAGCTGGGATAGGCTCCAGCACCCCACCGCGACCCAGAAGGATAAGCGGTTTAGATGATGGATGGATGGATGGATAAGTAGTGTTGATAACATGTTATACTGTCAGTGCCAAAGAAGTCAGTTCCAGCTTGGAGAGCGTAAAGTAAAGACAAATACCAAGCTAACGGTGGTGTACATTACCTTTCCCACATTGGGTAAAACACTGATGGCAGCACTAGTTTAAACTCTGACATTTGAAGCCTGTAATGTGCTTTACTGTGTATGTTTTAGTGTTTCAGTAAATCCTTCAGTAAATACTTCAATTGTAGCCTCACTCTTAACACTGGAGGAGGTTTTAGTGCAGTACACTTCACTTTACTTAAAGCGGACAAAAACGACTTATGAGCTCTTATAATTTGTTATGATCAGTACTTATAATGTATTATGTTAACTATTCATAATGCATAATAAGCATGGCTATAACGTGTAATGCATTTTTATAAATATTTATAGCCATGTTTATAATGCCTTATGAATGCATTATAACATGTTATGAATGTGTTTATAGATGCTTACAAAGGTGACATTCATAGAAAGTGTTACCTACAAAATTTCTATAACATTAATCAATCCCTGAAATAACACTGATGGCATGTAACCTCTAAGAGAGTTGATTGTATTTTAGATAATCAACAACAATATTTGAATTGGTGGCTTCACCCCCAAAGACAGTAAAGCTGCAGCAGAGAGAAGCACTGGATCAGACACAGCAGTGCTCCTGGGGTTTTTAAACACTGTTTCACTCACTGTCCACTCTATTAGACACACCTTCGTTGTTGATCCACCTTGTAGATGTAAAGTCAGAGACGATAGCTCATCTGTTGCTGCACAGTTTGTGTTGGTCATCCTCTAGCCCTTCATCAGTGGTCACAGGACGCTGTTGGCTGGATATTTTTGGTTGGTGGACTATTCTCAGTCCAGCAGCACTGTTGTGACTGATCCACTCATACCAGTGTAACACACTCTAACACACCACCACCACGTCAGTGTCACTGCAGTGCTGAGAATGATCCACCACATGAATAATACTTGCTCTGTAGTGGTCCTGTGGGGTTCTGACATCTGAAGAACAAGGTGCAAGGGGGCTAACAAAGTATGCAGAGAAACAGATGAACTACAGTCTGTAATTGTAGAACTACAAAGTGTACCTATATAGTAAGTGGAGCTGATAAAATGAACAATGAGTGTAGAAACAAGGAGGTAGTTTTAATGGCATAGGTGAACTATGCTAGGCAGGCGAAGCATATATTAATGAAATAATGTAGGTCCCAGAATTGAGCCTTGTGGGACACCACAAGATGCTGCATTCAACTTAAGATGTGTAAGTACCCAGTGCAACATAATATTCAGGCTCTCTCAGGTAGAATCTAAACCAGTCTAGCACTGAGTCAGAGAAAGCACTATAGTTCTGCTTTTGGTCAAGTAGAACCTCGTGGCCAACTGTCTGAATGGCAGTGAGAACTGACAGATAAACAGGTGGGTGGATGCTTAAGTTTGTTGCTTCTTAGTATTTATTTTTATATATATACATCATATAAAATATTATAAAAGCTTTGCTTATTAAATGAAAGTAGAAAAGTAGAAAAAAAGAATAGGGTGCTCTGATGCGCTTAAAAAACAGGATATAAAAACACATTTGCCACAAATTTGAAATATAAATACTAGCTTAAATTTCTTGTTGCATACAATCATGAACAGTTGTCCACAGACACTGAATGACAAGCTTGAAATATGAATTGAATAGTCAAGAATGGCCACAAACAAGCAGTAACATGTACAGTATATGTACAGTAAATATTGACACGTGTCCAGAAATTTTATATGACTTTCCACAAACTACTTAGTATATTGAAGTAGACAAGTAGGATGATTTCTGGAAATTACATTCAATTCCAGCTGTACTTTACATTTTCAGTTTTGTTTTATTTCCTCTTTGTTGATTTGGCCACTGTACATTTGTGTACAAAATATTGAGTGGCAACCGAAGACTGTTTTATTTGTGAGATAGTTTTGACATCTGCATATCTGTCAAAAATAGAATATCTAAATACTGTATGTCAAAGGTTTCAGAATAGAGTTGACCTAGGCCTCATGTTTCTAGCTTGGGGATTTCCTGTGTCCATCTTCATACACTTTGCTTCACGTAGGCACCAAAATGCTATGATGATTTAGACATTGCATTTATTGTATTATTTTACTTTTACATTCTGTGTGAGGACGATCAGCTTTCAGTACTCACACTATTCTAAACTGCTCTGTACACAAGTAGAGTTATGTAAAATCACAACATCTCAGCCAAAGGCTTCCAGGACAAAGCACTTTAGAGCTGGCTGAAGCTCATCTCCTTACATGATTTAACAATCAAGGCAACAGTAAAGAGAACAAAACTGAGAGGTTTATTTGCATTGGATGACTTGACCGTCAGCTGACCAGGCTTATTTCTGGAAGCATTGTTAGACAACTAGCTATGGCTTTGGATTTGAGTCAGCAGCCTTGTTTGTACAGTAGAGAATTTGGCTGCATTTTAAAAGTGCTAAGCATTCCATTCCTGTAAGGTTGTAGCTTTTTTAAACAACATTATGCTAATTTTCCATAGACAGATGAGGAGCAAGAAGAAACAGGGACAAATGACAAATGATGAGTTTTGTTGATTTTCTAATTGAAAATAGGTTGAGAATAAGTTAACACCTCCTCTACAAGGAACATTTTTTGCAAATTTAAGTACACAGTTTGTTGTTATTTGCTGAGTTCGATATACAAGAAATAATGTAAGAAAACATAAAAGGTTATACCCAGGTTAAATGTTAAACCCAGTATGTTAAACCCAGCAAATACACAGTAATTATAATGTGCAGAAGTGTGTGTCTGTTATGTGTTCATTTATTCTCAGTCATAAATCAAAAAAATGTAGAACTTTTGCACATGTCTGCAAATAGCAGGTCCAGACTCCACCTAAACTGTATGCAGCTCTTTGATGCATCTAAACTGCATCCATCACCTTAAATCAAGTCTAGAAATCAAGTGAACTGTGAAACTCATAATATTTCCAATGCATAATTTCAAGATTTGTTTATTTTACAAAATACTTTCACGTGCAAAACCTGATGATTAGTACTAATCATCAATGTGGCAAAAGATTTTTGTTTGATGTCCTCTGTCTTTTAAAGTATAAGCAACTGATCTTTCCTACTAGCTTGCATCTAAAATTAGCAAGGCCCTGTGACTGTGTTAGTCCTGTGTGTCAGATTCCAGCAACATGCTGTATCTGGAGTGGAGCAGCACCTGCTGCTAGCTGTAACACTAGTGTTGAGCTTGGGCATAGGCAGTGAGATACAGCCAAACTCTATTAAAATAAATCAGGTCAGGTCCATTAAGTCCTTTTTCCGTGCATGCTTCAGATGAAGGGTGCTTCTGCCCCTTTTTCATCATATCCCTCTTTCTTTTTAGCAGTCCTGGTCCATAACTGAAATAGCCAGGCTGCATGGGAGCAGCTACTTTAGATAGTGATTCTGCTCTTGCTCTATGGTGTTAGCTGAAGGGGGCTGGACCTGCCTCAGTGCGGAGTGGCCTGACTGGAGGAAGGATCACTGCAGCACACAGGAACGCAAGACCCCCCTGTTGGAACCTCATCGTCAACTCGAGGTACAGTACATATCTGTCTGGTGTGCTATTCCATTCAAAATGGCCTTACGCAATATAGCAGTAAAAAGGCAAGAATATATTCAAGTTAATGTGGGTGGTAGTTCTCCATTTCTCATGTGTAGTTAATTTGACTTACCTTTAGTCATTAGCAGTGATGGCTATACAATCTAGTTCACTTGGGACCATGGAAAGTTTTGTACAGTTTTATGTCCATTGATAAAACAATCAAACAATAATTCATAAATTAATACAAGTATTTTATTTGTGGAAGTTTTTACTCATCTTCTGCATGTTAACTCAAAAGTGTTAGCACTAAATGCAAAAAATATTTGCTTATATATATATATATATATATATATATATGTATATATATATATATATATATATATGTGTATTTATATATATTTATATATATATATATATATATTAAAAGCATGATAATCATTTTGAATCATTTAGTATCATATATTTATTCATTATTATATCTCTTCAGGTCTGAAAACCTCTCTTATCTTTTGAATGGCCAAGACGGTGCATAAGAGCATTTCCAAAGAACAAGGCAGTCAAACACAAGCTAAGAAACGGAACTCTGCAAAGAAATGGAAAGCTGGGTTCTAGAGGGGGACAACTACTCATTCCTCCGCAGTGCTCCGCGCACCTTCAACCTTCGGCACAGAGACGGGCCCAATCGTGTGGAGATCTTTGACATCACAAGTATCGAGGGCTCTCGTGGTGCCATATCTGAAACGACTTGCCTTTGCGACATTTTTGGGGATGACTGCGAGTCTCCTTCTCTCTCCAGCAGCCCAGCCTCTACGTCATTTCTAAAAAGGGATGTGGATACACATTTTCCAGCAGACGATATCAATGATTCATCAGGATCCTATCATACTGCCCATAGCTCGGAGCAGCTGAGTGACGCAAGTGATACATTGGAGGACTCAAAAGACCTCCCTAAACAAACAAAGGACTTGCTTGCACCTGAGACTAGGGAATCAAGCTCACCACCGACAGATTTAAACTTGTCAAATGACAGAAGTGCAGTTGCTTCTGAAAATGGCTCATCTTCACCAACCAGATTAGATGATAGTGGCCTGTCACAGACAGAGAACCATCAAGAGTCTCATTTGTCTCAAGACAACATCCTAATCCATAAGGATTCGTCTGCCCAGCAACTAGTAATGTCCACGTCTGAATTCAGAGACACTGATATGCGAGTAACTGATCCATCACCAGAAAAAATCTCTTCTGACCTCTTTTCTGAAATGAGGGCTAACATAGAGCAGAATGACACTGCCTTATCTGAACAAAGGGACATTATCAACCCACCTAAACAGCAAGAAAGCCCATTTTTAGAAAACCAAGTTCACAAAGTTACATGTGAACCTTCAGAGAGATCATCACTAGAGATAACTACATCCAAAGTTTCTGCTGAGGAGAATAATGTGGCCAGTTACACTGGTGAGGAGGAGGCTAAGATCTCTTATCCTGATGTTAGACATGATCACAGTTCATCTACAGAAAACATTTCACATGTTCAAGAAACAGATCTGGACTTGTCACCTGGAATTATTGACCAGAGTTGTCCAGTAACTCCCAGTCCTTTAATAAGGCCTGTAACACCTGCCCGTGGAGATAATTCTTCTTTATATGCACACATGGACACAAATTTCCCATCTGAATCTGTTGTCACACCAGATACAGAAGCTTTAGCAGACTCTCCTGAAGCGATGAGGTTAGAGTCACCTCCTTTACCTGAAGATACAGCAGGGCTACCAGAAGAACCTTGTACAGTACCATCACCTACTCTTTCTGCTGAGGAAAACAGTGAAACAAATATTTCATTTGGGCCTCAGGATTCAGCTGTTTGTCATGAAACAAGAGAAGTAGTGGTCTCACCTGATCAAAGAAGATTTCTCTCGAATACGACATCACCTGAGGTTAGTGAGTGCTTCACATTCTCTGGTTCTTTAATGGCCACTCACTCCTCCGAGCCATCAATACTTATACACTCACCTGTGGGTTACACCATCAGCCCTTCTCCAGAATTTGAGAGAAAGGTCTTTTCATCTGAACCTGAAGATTTACCATCCACTCCTGAGATCCCTGACTTTACAGCAACACCATCAGATTTCAGAGGTTCTGTTTCCTCACCTGATTCAAAACTATGTCTCACACCTGAGTCAAGGAGCATTACCTCTACACCAGAAATCAGACAAAATTTTCTTACACCTGATTCTATGCCAACAGCTCCTTCCCCTGAAATGAGATCTGCTACCTGTTCTCCAGAAATTAGAACAATAACATGTAGCGTCCTGTCCCAAAGCTCAAAGTCACCTCAGATTCAGGGAATAACATACAGGATGGTTTCACCCCAGAACAAAGAATTAGAACAAAATCCTGATGAAGAGGGAATAAGATCTGCTGAAAGTTCTAATTCAACTACAGATCCCATAAATGAGATTAGAAACCTGGCCAGCTCACCCATGTCACAGTTTTCATCAACACCAAGAAGCATGTCTAGACCATCATCGATGACTTTAAGTATACCAAGAGATGCAACACCTTCTCCTGAAATTAGAGATCAAAGATCACCTGACAGATTTAGTGATTACATACCAGAACCTACAGTCCCAGAACCTTGCATCTCTCTGGGACAGGCAGACAATCATCATTCAACCAGTGAGGAAGTGGATCTTCCTTCATTTGTGTCAGTAGACAGAGATCAGACTGATGGCTACAAAGAGCCCCTTAGAAGCAGCAGCCCTGTTCTTGATGAATGCAAAGACATTGCTTCTGTAGCGCTCAGCCAAATTCCGATAGTAAAAGACATGGTATCTGAACATTCAGCTGCCAAATTATCTTTACAAATGGAAGAAAGTGGAAAAAAGATGAATGACAACATATCAGAGTTAATAACACATGAAAACCCAAATTCCCTAAATTTTCATGCACTGAATGTAAAGTCAACAACACCTACAGTACAGGAAAAAGATTTTTTGAAAGGTAATGGCAGCTGCAGTGGAACAGAAATGTTGGAGAGAGAATCAGCAGGTAGTGAAAAGCAACTTGGCCATACGCCTAGGGAAAGCCCCAGTGTTTTCCATAGTGACAATAACAGAAAGTATGACGGGCAACCATGCAGGAACAAGGGGTGGAGTGAAGAAAGGGTGATACAGGAGGGGGATACATCAGGAAAAGGGGAGGAGAATATAGCAGAGGGTAGTTACAGAGGGGAACAGGTTGAGCTGTCATTCAGGGACAGGAATAGAAAAGGGCCTGCAAGCCCCAGCACTGCTCCCTCAAGCGGAGACCCAAAGTCTGGAATTCCACCTCGCTGTTATTTTGAGTCTCCCCTGACAACTCGGCAGCAACAGAGTCTTCTCAGAGCACAGGGCACACAGAAAGAGAACAAGAGTGGCGCCAGGAGGGTCCAATCGGCTTTCCAGAGCAAACACAGTGGTGCTGGCCGTCTTCCTTCAGGATGTACCAGTGAAACCTCCAGTATGGGAAGTGAGTTTGATGAAGCTGACAATGAAGTAAAGTGGTTAACAGACGTAGCCTTTACAAGTCTATCCAGCCCTAAAGGGGATTACTTGGATGTCTACAGCTCAAGCCACAGGTCATCTACAAATGTTTCACAGCCATCTACCGTGGACAGTCCTGGTGCTGCAACATGGATGTCCTACGCAGATTTGCATGGCTCAACATTGCATGAAAATGATGAGCTCTTATGCCACACTTCCTCTTTTTTGCCACATGGTACCCTGGATCCATCAAAGCGTTTTGAGATGGGTAGTTTTGAATGTGTGGATGTAGCAGTGGAGAGCAAGGAGGAGTTCAGGAAGGGAAAGAGGACAGTACCAAAAAGGCAGATCCAACTTAAGAGACGCAACCCTGATGAATCAAAGTCTACCGAGAACGCAGAAAATGTTATGGAATCTTCATCTACAGAGAGATGCTCAAGGGACACTGTGCTTCATCAGCATAGCACCCCCCCAGCAGTGCAGGAGAATCTGTTTGGAGGTGAACCTGACATTCAGAGCAGTCAGAAGATGCTGCAGACGTCTGCATCCTTCGATGAAACCTCAACCAAGGCAAAGATGGCTTCCTGCATTATCAAGAGTGTCCTTTCAAAGAAAATGGAGACTGGTACCAAGGAATCTTCAAGAAGTGAATGTTCAAGTCCGTCTGAAGATAAAAAGAAACACCCTGAAACTCTTTCTGCAGGACCATCAAGCAATATAGAGAGGCACAGTTTAAGTTCTAGCCTGCCCTCTGAATGCAGCCTGTCTTCTGAAGATTTTGCTGGTAGAGAGGAGAGAAGCCCTTGTCTTCAGAAGAAACAGGGGCCTAAGGTTCCTCCTAAACCATTCTTCAAAGCCAACTTTCTGCCTACTTACAGTAACTCTGACATAGTTGCATTTCAGAGTGAACAGATACCCAGAATGGTTGATCCTTTTGAAAGCAAAACACCTAAGAAACTAATTATCAAGAACAATGAAATGGTAGAAGAAACAGCAGAAACAAATAACTTGGGAAGGAAGCACAACAGTGACTCAGCACATACTATTGCCAGGAACACAAGTGCTACTGTCACCCGAGCTGTAAGCGCAACTGGCAGAACAGCAAAAAGGGATTTGGAGGATCCTGCAGCACTGAAAACTCATAAACAAAAGAGTGGCAGGAGGATGTTCTTGTCAAAGACCCCTGAAATCACTCTTAAGCCATGCACCAATAAGGACAAAAAGAAGTCTTCTCTGAAGGTTTCTCTGTCTCCTGATCACTCAACTGAAGAATCTCAATTAGAGGAAACACTTGAAGGGCAAGGGAGATTTGAATCAGAGATAGATGCAGAAAATGAAGAAGATAATGAAACCAGCAAGCCAAAATCGGTTATACATAAAGTTAGGGATGTTCGGAAGCTGGTAAAGAACACCTACAACTTGTCCTTCAAAGCCTCAAATACCACACACTTTGCAGATGACCCAGTTACTCAAGAACAGAAAGAAACACAACCTCAAATTCCTCACACCCTGCAGATTGAATGCAAAGCTATCAGCTGGAAGGACAAGCAAGCATCTGGCAATAAAACGCCCAACTTACAAGAAGCACAATCCTCTGACAAACCGGAAACACATAAGGATTCAGAGATGTGCAGAAATAAGAATATTACAGAAACAACAGACAAGACAAAGATAATCTTGGAGACACAGAAAGAGATGAATATTCAAGTCTCTGACATGGAAGAATTTGCTGTATCTAATCAATGTAACACTTTATCAACATCTGAAAATTGTGAGCAGAGCACAAGTCTAGATGTTCCTCCTACACCTACAAGCAAGGAAGTATCAACATTAGTATTTATGCAGGATGCCACATCCAATGGTATGCAGAAGCCATCAAGCCCTGCTTCACCAGATGGGAAGACTATGAGCAGTAGCCACTCAGTGTCCATGCTACTGAAAGAAAAAGGAATGCAAGCTGACATTGGTGTTTGTGATGTCCTAAATGAAGGTACCAGTGCTACCCCAAAGCACATCAACAGACTAGAGGTCCCCTTGCAGACTTCTGTATCAGAAGGAGCCTCAAATGAATCACAGAAAGTGAAAGAATGTCTGCAGAAGTCATCCATCAACAGTACCCTACAGGCAAGTCAATGTGTCTCACCGCTTAGGAGCTCTCCAAAGCCTAAGGATCTGAGAATGAGTCCTGGTGAAATGCTGACAGACAATCAGATTCAAGCAGCTTCAAAGGAAGAAGAGAACACAACTCAGGGCACTTCCATGATAAAAAATTCAGCTCCTCTTGCAACATCAAACAAGGCAGAGGTGAGGTCATTTTCTAGCAATACAAAAGGTCACGTGACCACATCCAAAGAGATTGAGTTACCCATACAAGTGAGGTCAATATCCAGTGATAGACCAAAACCTTTCGTGCCACCAAAACCCAGCTATAAACAGCCATTAACAGAAATGAGGTCAATATCAAGTGACCTTCCTAAAACAGACATCGCACCAACATCATCTATTTTCAAACAGCAAACACATTTAAAGAGCGATGTTAAGAAAAATGAGACGTCAACAGCAACACCCAGGGAGCAATTAACTGAGGTAGTACCAAACAACAACAAAAAATTAGCCGTATCAGCAGTATCAAGCTACAAACCTCCATCTATGCCAATGACGACAGTGTCAGGTTCTGTGCAGAAATCAACAACAACCTCAGTTGCTACTGGTAGGCAAGAGGTATCTACAACTTCAGTGCAAAATCTCAACAACTGGCAGCAACTGAACATGACCCTCAGTCAAGAACAGGTGATTCCAGGCACTTCTTGTGCATCCAGTCATCCAGTCTTGCCAGTAGCATCACAAGGTCATACCTACAAACAGCCTTCAAAAACAGCATCCTTTAACAACCAGTTGCTTAAAGAGGACTTCCATTTCCATGCATCAGATGATCCTCCCAGCTACGATGAACGAGAAAGCTTTAGCCCTTTGCTGCTTTCTGATTTGCCCCCAAGAAAGCTGAACCGATACCATCCCACCAACAAACATTCTCCATGCTCCTGCACAACAGCTTCCCAGCCTCATCTTGGCCATCCCTACCATGGCTCACAAACCCGCACGCCACCAGCTCCACAGTCACCAGGGCAGGGGCTTTTATTTCCAGGCGCACCACCGCAGGCCCAGGTCCGTCCTCATCAATGCAGACAAGACAGCCAGCCCTTAAATTTCCCACCAGTCTCACCCAAGACCACATTACCTCAGGCTCCACCCATGATTCAACCCTTGCACCACTCCTATCCCTACCCTGCTCCAGTCGCACAGGCCTTTGGTGATGAACAACAAGCTTCTTCCACTCAGCAGATGGACAGACTTTCAGCTAATCGCCGATCACCACAAGCTGCAAGTGGTGCAGCTTATCGTGAGCATGGCCGTTCACCCAATATAGCTCTGGATCCCAGATCCCAGTTTTTCGGTTCGCATGATTTACCGCCAGCTTTTGGCCATGATTATGGAAGTGATGGTCCTGGGGCTGGTAGTGTCTTATACCCGGAAAATGCAAGTGGTCTTGGGTATGGGCAAGGCCCTCGTCGTATACTCCTCGACCCTGAAACTGGAAAGTACTTCTATATTGAAGTACCAGTGCAGCCACTGAGAAAAATGTTGTTTGATCCAGAATTGGGGCAGTATGTAGAAGTTCTCATACCGCAACAGGCTATGTCCCATTCTGGTATGTATCCCCCAACTGCTGCTCCATACCCCTCACTCCATGGTCCCGGGTTATATGCACCACAGTACCTCCCATATGCTGCGCCACCACATCCTCAATCTGCCCAGCAACCACGGCATCCAGAGACCTCTGTCTCCACTTCACTCCATCAAACCAGCATGGGATATGGAAGCTCAGCAAGCCAGACTCCGAAATCCGAAGCAAAAAGCCATCCATCGCTGGATCAGAGTTATTTAGAGAGCATGTATTACATTCCCACTGGGATGAATGCAAGCCCTAATTCTGCACCTTCAGACTGCTACCACAAACCATCACCAAATATGCCTGCCACTGGGGGCAGGAGAGCATGAAATAGTAATATATGTAACATATTTACTACTGCAGTCCCTGGTGGTAGAACAGCTTTCTGAGTAAAGTTGGATGACACACCTAAAACCCAGTGAGTTATGTTTTTACTTTGTTGTTTCTAGAATTTCACTCAGTTGACGGCAGATTCACTACGTTTCCACTTTAAATCTTCCTTAGATAGCACATCAAAAGCGGTTTAACTGTGAGGTACCATGATTTGAGATTAAGTGGGGCTACAGAACTAATACAATTTCCAGAGTTTCTAACTGAGGCCGTTCGTAGGCCCAAAGAGGTCATCAGTTTGAAAAGTAATAAATGCTAACCTCAATTACACTGCTTCTCATCATATTATTTTCCACCTATTATTTGAAATTTCTGCATAATTAAATCATTAACATGTAAACAAAGTCATTTAGAGTGGTGTGAAATGCTAGATCCACAATGTCAAATTCACAGCAGTGGTGATAGGAAACGTCTGAAGAAATAATACCCCTAAAAGCTTCCTCATAGAAAGTTATTAAATGAAATAGTTACACATACATTGCCTGGTGTCTGAGACATTGTTTTATGCTAGTTTTAAGAAAACATTTTGGCCTAAAATGCATTTTTTAAATGCATGCACAGCGGAGACGTACATGCAGGGCGCTGCAAGGTAAAAATAGGCCCCAGAAGCTTCAGAAAGCATATTTTTTCAGATTTACCACTATTTTACCATCAATAACATTACATATTAAAACACTACAAAAATTGTTGTTTAAATTTATGAATTGCTAAATTTCTGTACAATGAACCATCTTTGAATGACTTTGTTTACGTATCAATAATGAAACTATGCAGAAATTGTGAAAATTGGTGGAATTCCAATTTAACATAATGGCCAAAGGAGTTTTCAGTTTCATAAACATGCTTGTGGGCTTTATCAATGGTGTGTTGTCCACTGTTAGCATAGTTCACCATGGTCATTTTCCTTAAGGCACAACCTCAACTTCTTAAAAGGTTGGCCACTATGCATGTCCGTTGTATATTTACAGTTTTAGTGCACTGTTAGATAATACCATAAACATGTTATATTAGGCTTATACATTGAGCCTATAAGGCAATGTAGTGACTTGATCACGATAACTATCAGCACTTCTAATTCACACAACATGACAAGTAATGCTTTTCTGTAAAAATATGTTTTTGCTCCAATTCTAATTCAAGCATATCATAAATTTGGAGAGGCAATGTCTAAATTTACTGTTAAAAAATGACATAGAAGTAAAAGAATTAACAAAGCAGTTATGCTAGGATGGAAGAGAATGAAGTCCACCAGTCTTCAATGTTTCATCATTATAAAATTGCAGATATATTTTCTAATAATAAAAAACTTCCATGTGCTATTTTTTTTACACACAGTTATACCCAATTAAAGGTAATTGTTCACTACTACAATCAAAGCATTGAGTCTTTTATTTATTTTTTCTGATTGTGCTGTATTAGCAACTTGTTAGCAGTGTTCTTATTATGAGTTATTAGTTGAATCAGTACATTCATTCTTAAGTATTAACAAGTTTCAACACAGACACAGTGGTGACATAGAAATATAACTCAAAAGTCATCAATGTAAGTAATATTTAAATTGTGAACTGGTTGATACCTGCTCATGTGATTTAAGGATATTCAGCTTAGGCTCAGACTGCCACCTGGTGGAGACTGTCCTGTAACTGACAAAGCTTTATTACTGTGTGAAAGGTCACCAAAAGTTGCTGTGTCAATATCACTTTTCATTCTGAAATCACTGTCCAGATTTGAGGCTATAGGCCATCTGTTCAGTCTGTTCTTTAAAGGAAAACCTCCTACATGGTGCTTGTGTGCATTAACTGAAAGTGCACCAGAATAGCTTCTGCTGAATGAACTAATATAGGATTATTTTTCTCAATGGCAATGACCCATATTTAAAATTCACTTGGTTTCACAAAGTATGTTCTGTACAATACTGTACAAACATACCATACTGGACACACCTGATTGAGTAGATGTTGTTTAAAGACAAATTTCATAGATTTAAAAAAATGCATAATTCAATTAAGATTTAAATTAAATCATTCAGAGTGTTTTGACAAAAATTGTTAATTGTAGAGAAACGTACAGACCCTGACTTCTTTACAGTGGTGGTGATAGGAACCAGGGGTCAGAATGTCTACAACACAAATATAGCCATTTTATTAACTTTCCAAAACCACCAGTGAACCTACGTGTGTCTTGTGATTTTTGATATATGTAGAGTTGATAACTGTAAAACAGTGGAAAATATGAAAAAATAAGTTTCTTTGAGGACTGTTTGCCTTATATGTATCTCTCAGCCAGGATGGGTTTAAAAATATACATTTTAGGCCAAAATTTCGTCTCAAGACTATCATAAAACAATGTTTCAAGGATCATGCAGTGAAACCGACATGTGTAAAAGCTTTATGTCAGAGAGCTTTTAGAGAGTTTAATGGTTATGTCAACAAACGCTGCCTTCAAGTCCTCCATGGAAGTTTCTAGTTGTGACTTCAGTGGTCATAAGAATGAGTTCATTTGTGGTCAAAAATCAGACAGAAATAATGCTGTATTGTTTATGTTTCTCTGTCATCAAAGGGAGTATATTTATTTTGTTCTACTTTGACAAAAACAAAGAACAGAGGATGCTTATGAAATAAGAAATGTTATTATCCAGTTATAAGCATCATATAAAATGTGCTTATGTATGTATTTTTTCTACATATGGATGATTTCAGCCTGCAGTGTTTATGTGTAACTGCTGAATAGCTGAATACAACTAGTTTACAATACAACTATCATATCATGACTACCATTGCTTTTTTTTTGTTGTTGACGCCCCAAATCAGAAACTCAAGGCTAAGATTTGCACTAGTATATATGACATTGTGGTGGCATTCATGTGCATTCATGATGTGAAGGCAGCAAAAGTCATTCAGAGTGGTCAGAATTGTTCACAGTGGTGGTGATAGGAACCAGACGTCTGAAGAGTTTAATGCCTCTTAAAGCTACATCACAGGAAGTTATTACATGAAATAGTTATGAAAAGGCTGCCTGATTACCTAAGACTTTGATTTTTAGTATAAGCCTAAAATATATGTCATATCCATTCATGGTGGAGAGGTACATGCAGGGTGTTCTGAGGCAAAATAACCCCCCAAAAAGCTTATTTTTCCAGATTTACCCGTTTTTCCATAAAAAGACTCGGAATACACATGTAAGTTCACTGGTGGTTTTGGATGGTAAGCAAAATGTCCATATTTGTGTTGTAGACATGGTGACTCCTGGTTCCTATCACCACCACTGTAAAGAAATCTGAGTCTGTAGTTTCTCTTCAATTAACCACTTTACATGAAACCACTCTGAATGACTGTTTACACGATTGAATTATGCATAAATAGTTAACAATATATGGAATTCCATTTTAAACTTCTTTGGCTGTCTGGTTCCTATCACCACCACTGTAAACAATTGATTCTCTAGAATGGAGCATTTCACATCAAACCACTCTGAATGACTTTATTTCCAAGCCTAACAATTAAATAACAAACATCTCCCTAAAATAGTTTTAAAAAGTATAAAAAGCATTCTTCCTCATGACAAACTAAAACAGACAGCGCAGGCTGGATGAAAGCTGGTGTAATAGCAATAGTCTAGCTTTCAATATGGTTAATGCTGGTATATTCTTTCCTATTGGTTGACTTAATATTGGTACAGCTAATGAAAGTTAGCAGTGTTTTTTTCAGTGTATTTAGCAGGCCCATCAGAGCACACAGAATGACATCATGTAGCCAGAGTGGGCAGGGTCATGGTGTGGCCCACTAGTGTGGTGGACATGTTTCCACTTATTCCATTAAACAGATGTCAATGCCAGTCCCCTGCCCACCCGCATGCTGCAGGCACACCCTGGAATGACTGCATTTGATTTCCTGGCTCATTTGATCGCATTGCAGGGGCAGAAGCAGATGGAAACTCACACTGTGTTCCCTTCATGTTATTGAAGAGATAGCAGAGAGTGCGTGGGCATAAAAGTTCCCCCCCATGTGGGCTGACTGAATGAAAACAAAAAATAATGATTGCGGTTCACCTATGACTTCATTTGGCACAGGCAACAAAGTGAATACAAATACCATGCTTATTTTTGGAATTAGCCTTGTGGGAAAGCACGTGCCAGTGTTGCCAAGCAATTCAGGAATGTGAATTAAAGAAAAAGGTATCCAGGTACGGTCGCATCAGCCGAGCTTTGCAGTAGAGTCTACTGATTTACTGGCCCTCCTGCGCTCACAGAGTACTGCGTGTACATGCTTTTAAGCCTTTAAACTTTACCTCAGTTGTTCAACACAGCAAAGATTACGGCGCTGCCACGTGCCGGTCTTCAGGTAAAACAGGCCATATAAGGCCTTGTTCCGCAGGTGATGGCAGCAGACAGAAACATGAATGAACCTGCTCTGCCTCAGCCTACCTGTGTGTCAGGTACAGCTGGTACGGACGGAGGATTAAGAAACACATAAATGCAGCCCTTCCGGATGTGTTGAGTCACCAGGCAACCTTCAAGCTAAACAAACCAGTACCTGCATGCTGGTGTAGCATGGGGGGAGGTGCGTGCTCGTGAGGTTTATTCAGATAGTGGACCAGCAGGTGGCACAGTTACAGCTGTGAGGACTGTTGAGGTGTTACGTCACTGCAATAAAAAAGGTTTATGAAATCAATCCTATTCAGGTGGGATCGCTTGTAATCAATTTCAATCTCAGAAGATGACGACAATAATAATTTACTTCTATGGCACTTTTCAGTTTCCAAAATCTTAAAGTGCTTCACAGAGTGGTGAAACATAGAAAACGTTCATGAAATAACACCAGAATTACAAATTATAGAAGACAATAAATATACTAAATATAGTAAATTTAGTATATATAAATATATTAGACATATGCTAACCCTGAAAGGGAATTCCACTGATTTTATTTTAAATCATCAAGATGTAAACAAATTCATTCAGAGTGGTTTGACGTGAAATGGTTAATTGTGGTGAAACCAACTAAGATTTTCTTTACAGTGGTGAT